TTACTCTTATAAAAATTGAATCTGCTCTTTATATCTTGGAAATGAAGCCTTTGTCAGAGAATCTTGCTGCAAAGGATTTTTTTTCCCAGTTAACTGTTTCCCTTATAATTTTAACTGCATTGGTGTATGTGTGTGTGTGTGTGTGTGTGTGTGTGTGTATGTTTAAAATCTTTTCAATTTCATATAATTTACATTGGCTATTTAATTCTGTGATCCTCATTGGCCTTTATTTGGTCACAAATTTTCCTCTCTCCATAGAGCCAAACAAACTTGCTTCTCTAGTTTGTTTTTTTGTTTTGTTTTGTTTTTGGAGGCATTCAGTGAGGTTAAGTGACTTGCCCAGGGTCACACAGCTAGTAAATGGCTGAGGCCGGATTTGAACCCGGTCCTTCTGACTCCTGGGCCGGTGCTCTGTCTACTAGCTTCTTCAGTTTTTAATTTTTATTTTTAAGTGATGTGACCTTTTAGAGCTAAGTCCCATATTCATTTGGTGCTTGTATTGCTGTATGGTGTAAGATGTTGGTTTAAGCCTAATTTCTTACAGTTTGCTTTCTAGTACTCCCAGCAGTTTTTATGGAATGGTGCAGCTAGAGTCTTTGGGTTTATGAAATACGAAGCTACTATTTTTAGTTTGCCTAATTTATTTTAATGATTGATTTCCTCTATTTTTAACCTGTGCCAAATCATGCTGATTACTATTATTTGTAGTATAGTTTGAGATCTACTAGGTCCCCTTCTCTTAAAAAAAATTCCTTTGAGATTCTTATTTTTCTAATCATATTTTATTCTTAACTTAAACACCAAAAAGAGAGCATTTGCATACACATAGAGAATATCAAAAGAAATGAATTATTATTTATCATTTATTAATATTATTTGAACCTAACTTTACATGACTAGAGATTGTTTGAACCCAAAACATGGACCTCACCTCAGTAACTCTCCAGGAATGCCAGAGATTGCTACAAAGAATTTGGAGTTCCCCTAGGTCCTGGATCTACCCCAAACATTCTTGTTTTGGCTCCCCCTCTCCCAGGTCTTATTTTGGGTCCACCCAAACTTGTGTTTGGGATTGATTCCCTTTGTGTCTTGGCTTCACCAAAATGTTATTGAATGCTTACATTTACTGATATCCATCTCAATCTACCTTGCTTTCCTGTTACCCTCTCAGCAAAATTGCCTAACTGCATACATGTGGTTCATGTGCAGCTGTCCTTGTCGAAATTCTATATCATGTAAACCTTTCAGAGCCTGGATAGGAGGGAGCCACATCTCTTTTTTGGCTCACTCTCTTCTAACAAACAACCTAATAAGTTTCTTTCTACAACTATTTTAGATTTTGGGGCTTATTCTTGTGAAAAACAAGAGGAATACACATGCACATATATGAAACAACTTCCATTTCACAATACTTTTAAAAATTATACATAATAAATTTTAGATGGCTTCATTTTTTTGCACATTGCAATTTTCTTCTGAACATCTATCTGTTCTATGCATTTTTAAAATGTATCAATGCCCCCCTTTTTTGACATCCCTAATTACTTTTTTCTTTCTTTTTTTCCTTTTTTTAAAATATTATTGTTTCTTTAGCTCCAAATTCTCTTCCCTCCTCTGCTATTCTCCCACCCATTGGAAGTAGATAGAATTTTTCACCATATGTCCTTTTAAATTGTGGTAGATTACTATATTGATCAGAGCTACTAAGTTTTTCACCATTGATTATCTTTTTGATATTGCTAATACTATGTAAATTGTTCTCCTAGTTCTGCAGATTTAATTTTGCATCAGTTCATATAAGTCCTCCCAGGTTTTTCTGAAACCATCCCCTTCATCATTTCTTTTTTTTTTAAGTTCTTAAATTTATTTTAAGTTTAAGTACAAAATAAAAAAAGGAAAAAAAAAACAGTATCACATACACAATAGAGGATTCAATATAAAGCAATAACTTTCCATTTCAAGAAAACCTACATAATAAATACTACACATTATTTTCAAAGCTGTCCAATTTTGCTTTTTTGTAGGTTTCCTTTTGTTCTCTGTTATGCACTTTTAACTATTTTTCCCCTCTTTTCCCCCCTAAAAAGAAGGCTACAACTAAGTGTGGATACACACACACACACACACACACACACACACACACACATACCTATGCATGCATACACATATATATGTATACATACATAAACATGTATACATACATATCTATTGCATATGCATATATATCTATTAACATACACACATATATACATATACACTCATACATATATGTGTAAGACTGTACTATGTTTATTTCCGCTTGTCTCTATTTCTCTGGAGGTGGATAGCATTTTCTTTCATAAGTCCAAGTCTTTGTTTTTCTAAATCAACAAACTCATCATTTCCTACAGTATAGTAATATTCCAACCCAATCACACTCTATGTGAGAGACTGTCTATGAACATTTTCCCCACCCCGAAATTTTCTGCCTTCTTTCTATTCTTGGCTGCATAGGTTTTATGTATATATATATATATATATAATATATAAGAAAATTTTAATTTAAAATAATTGAAATTATCCATTTTACCCTTCAACAATGCTCTCATGTAATAGTATGGTTTAAGGTCTGATACTGCTGAATATGCTTTCTCTATACCTTTTTTTAATCTGGTTTCTTTGAAGTTTCTGACCTTTTATTCTTCTAAATAAACTGTTACTATTTTTTCTAAATCAGTAAAATAATTTTTAACAATTTAATCGGGATGGCATCACATAAATAGGTTAATTAGGTAAAATTGTTGTTTTGTTTCACCAAATTGACTTTACCTACCCAAGAACAATAAATATTACTTCAATTATTTAAGTCCAACTTCATTTGTATAAAGCATATTATATGTTTATATTTGTATGGTTCTTCTGTCTGTTTGGTCAGGTATAATCTCAGGTACTTTATATTGTCTAGTTGTTTGAAATGGCCTAAATCAATATTGAATAATATGGCTGACACATAGTGTAGTTTCCCTATTTTCTCTTTTGATTAAATCTATTTTAGCTTTAATTTTGTCTGAAATCATTACTACCCCTGCTTTTTTATATATAATAAATTCTATTTTTATTTATGTTTGTGTGTAGCTCTCATTTTATAGCATTTCCTGAAAGAAATATATTGTAGAATTTAAATTTTTAATCTGCTATCAGTTTCTATTTTTTAGGTAAATTTATCCTATTCATGTTCTAGGCTATAATTACTTGTTGTATGTTTTCCTCCTTCCTATTTTTCCTCAGTATCCTTTTCATCCTATTCCTATCTATTCTCACTCCTCTCCTTTACTTTTACCTGCTACCTTGCCCTCTTACCTCTCCAAGAATCCCTCTCTTATCCCCTCCTTTAACCCGATCTCCTTGCCCTCTTATTTCATTCTGAATTTAGGAGATTTTTATACCCTTCTAGATATATGTGTTGTTCCCTCTTTAACCCATTCCTAATCAGAGTATGGTGTCAGTACCACCCACCCTCCCCACTAATAGCTTCTTCTGTATCAATTTTTCTTTTTTGCTTCATTAGTATGAGATAATTGCTCCTTTTATGTCTCCTACAGAGTTTTATTTTTTTAATCACCCCATCATACTCAGCTTAGCCCAAGCCTTTCTTTCAAACTACCTAAATAAAAATGGCAATCATAAAAGAACTGATAATATTTTAATATATAAGAAATAAACAATTTGACCTTATTGTATCCCTTATAATTGGTCCTTAATGTTTACTTTATATTTCTCCTCAATGTTATGTATTTAATTTTACTTTAAGTTCTGTTGTTTTTGTTAGGAATATCTGAAAGTCTTTCAGTTCGTTATATGTTCATTTTTTTCCCATTCATGATTATACTTAACTTTGTTGGGTCAGTTATCCTTGGTGGTAACCCCAACGCTTTCACTCTAGCTGCTAGATTTTGTGTAATCCTTTGCCTAACCCCTCCCACCCGCAGCTTGGCCATTCCCCTTGCCTTAGTACCCTATATAAACCCTGTTCCCAGTCTCCCCCGCCCCATACCCCAGAAGTTGCTTTGTGGCATGCCAAGATGAAGCTCACTTGCCCCAATTAAAGACCTCCATTTTGCTTATATTGGCTGTTTTCTCTTGAATTCAGGTTGCCACTACAATTGTTTTTTAAATGATAGATAAACCATTAGCTAGTTTGATTACAACTCCTAGTTTAATTTATTGGAAGCCTCCAGTGGTTTAGTGGATGGAGCACTGTGCCTGAAGTCAGAAAGACATGAATTGAAATCCAGCCTCAGACACTTCCTAGCTGTGTGACCCTGGGCAAATCACATAACCTCTGATTGCCTGACAAAATGGATCCCCTGGAGAATGAAATGGCAAACCATGCCAGTGTCTTTGCCAAGAAAACTCCAAATGGGGTCACAAAGGGTCAGATAAGACTGAACTATAAAAGTTTTGCTTATTAATTCAATGTTGTTTTTGCTTTGTCTTGTTAAGTTTTTCCTCTATATTGCCTTTTAAATGTCAGTCTAACAAAAGACTGCAGGTGGAAAAGGAAACAAATCATCTTACACAGATTCCTTAGCCCTGCCTCAGAGTAAGATTAGGAAAATCGATACAGATTTAATTTAGGGATGCTTCACTAATATTTTGATAACTTCATTTGAAAACAACTGCTTTCCTCTGTAATGCTATATATTTTATTTAATGTGCTCAAAAATATTATTGTGAGAAGGGGTCCCTAAGCTTTTACAGACTGTGTGAACAAGGGATCCATCACACACAGAGAGAAAGAGAGAGAGGTTAACACATTAACTCAAAGTTTCTCAAGTGAGGGAAGGAAAGTCTGTGAAAACCTGAGTCAAAGAATCCAAAGGGGAGCGAGCACCTCTGGTGGAACTGGTAGTCATCCTCCTTAGCTGGGTGGCTGCCCTCTGGAGGTTGCCTTGTGTAATCAGTAGAGACTTGGATTTCCAAGAAAAGGAAACCAAAAGTTTTCTAAACTAGTGGCAAGAAGCCCAGAGCCAGGGCGGAGGAGAGTATGGAGGTCCCAGGCTCTTTCCCTCTGGTGCTGGAGGGGCCCTGGGGTCCCGACCCTCCCAAGAAGTTGCGGAACAAGTTGCAGTGCTACTTCCAGAGCCCCCAGAGATCCGGAGGGGGCGAGTGTGTTCTCACACTGCAGACCGGCCACTCTGAGATCCTTCTCCTCTTTGAACATGAAGAAGGTAGGTGGTGAATTAGGTTGTGTAGGAAGGAGGTGGAATAGAGGCATTACAGGTTGGGGAGGGTGATGAGAACCCTGAGGATGTCAGAGCTGAAGGGCACCTGAGACATCATCTAGCTAAATTTCGATTTGACAGAAATGGAAACTAAGACCTAGAAAAGGGGAAGAGTAGTAAACAGCCGAGGCAGGAATAGTACTCGGGGTCTCTGTCTCCAAAAGATGTGCTCTTTAAGTGTGACTCAGTGACTCCCTTCCTTCCTCCCTCCCTCCTTCCTTTCTTCCTTCCTTTCTTCCTTCCCTCCTTTTCTGCCTTTTTGTCTCTGTGTTTCTCCCTGACTTTGTCTCTCTGTCTTTCCCTATCTCTCTGTCTCTGTCTCTTTCTCCCACTATTCAATGAGTTTATTTTCATCTATAGATTTCTGAGGGAAAAGAAAGTAGAAAATATGTCCAGAATATATAAAAGTCTGGTCTGTGCTGATTTTTCTATTTATAGGCACAAAGGGAAATGGAGGTGGGGAGAAGAGTGGGTGGTAATAGCCGCGTAAGCTGCAACTGTCAGTTTAGGGAGCTTTGCAGACACAGCCCTGGCTACATCCCACCGAGCACCTTTTCTTGCCGAGATATAGCGCACAATTTAGAGGCACCTGCACAGGTATGAGAATTACTGCTCACAGCGGGGTCCCTGGCTGGCAGGGACCAGGCGGGTAGTTGTCTCAGAAGAAGGACTGACTGAGTGGCTAGAGAAGAGTTGTCCGCTTGAGCTACACTCATGCTTATATAGAACCCACTCAGATGCTGGGAAGTCTTTTGTGGCTCTTATGGGCTGGCATTGGTTTCCAAACTTTTTGATACAATATCCTTATCTGCTTTTAAAAAAAAGTTGAGCACATGCCCTCAATATATGTATATTTTCTTACAAATTATATACATATGTCATGGTGCTAATAATTAGGTACATTACACAGCTTACACCGAAATTTTAAATTATGAAATGAAGATGAAATACATTTGATTCTAATCTCAATAGGGAGCCCTTAGAGTCTATGGAGCAGGGGAATGGCATGGGCACATCTGTGCTTTTGCAAAGTCGTTGTGTAGGCTGTGTGGCAAAAGGACTGGAGTGAGGAAAGACTTAAGACAGAGTCCATTTAGGGTAAGCTAAATGTTGTCTTAGTCCAGGAATAGGTGATGAGGGCTTGAATCAAGGTAACAGCTTTGTGAGTAGAGAGAAAGAGTCTCATAAGAGATGTTGTAAAAGTAGAAAAGGCAAGATTAATCAACCAATTAGTTCTGGGGGGTGACAGAAGATGAGAAGTCAAGGATGACACTGAGGCTGGGAATCTAGGTGACTTGGAAGGTTGGTGGTGCTTTTGACAGAAAAAGAGAAATTTACAAGAGGGTTGGGTTTGAGGAGAAAGATGGATAAAAAGAAATTTGAGATGTATATCACAACCCAGTGATGCCTACTTATTGCTCCACTCCACTGAATAGGAAAAGTGGACATGGGGCTCTTGCCCACCAATAATAGCCTCAGAGCATAGGGCCTGCCTTCCAAAGGATGTTTGCCATAGCTACCAAGTATGATCTGGTGCCAGGCTGGGCAATTCAGGTCTGGAAGACCTGAGTTCAAATTTAGTCTCAGATATTTAGGTGTGTGTTTTCAGGTAAGTCACTTAATCTCTGCCTCAGTTTTCTCATCTGTAAAATGGGGATAATAATAGCACCTACTTCCCCAAAGTTGTTGTGAGGATGAAATGGGATAATAATTGTAAAGCACTTAGCACGGTGCCTGGCACGTAATAAGTCCTATATAGATGTTAGTTGTTGTTGCTGTTGTTGTTGCTGTTACTAGGACAGGAGGTGAATCTTCAGGGGTTGTTTTGTCATTTTCTTTCTTTTGCTGGAGAGGCAATTTTTCCAGTTGCAACTGCACAGTTTCTAGTTGAGTGCTCCACAAGCAGTACAGCTATCATTGGAATAAGAAGCCAACAGCTGGATCAGAAGGGGTTAGATTGGAAACTTGCCCAGTCATAGGGATGGTTGAAGTAGGGCAGAGTTGGAGGATAGGTATAGGTTGTAGTAGTGTTGGAAAGAAACCCCATAATTGTCTGTCACAGAGAAAGTGAGATGTGAACCATCATCCCATCTTTTAATTAGTTAATCACACATCCCTTGGGCTCAGTCTCCTTAAAACCATGGACCCCAGGAAACCCCAGTCCCCACTTTGAAGAACAGTTGTCTATGAGATAAAATGCAAACTCCTTAGCCGGGCAATCAAAGCCTATAATGGTCTGGCTTCAACTACCTTTCTAATCTCATTTCATGGTATTCCCCTTCACTCTATGCTCCAGACAAAACTGTCATCTTATTTTGCTCTGCCCCTCTCTTTCTTTTCCTCTATACCTTAGCCTTTCTGTAGAATATCCTGACCTCCAACAGTAGACTTCTCACACCCCACCTTCATCCCAATTTTCCTATTGATATCCTTTCTCTTTTTTTAAGACTCACTTTTCCCATGAAATTTGAAAACTCTGATTCTCCAAGTAGAAAGAATTGGTTCCTCCTTTTCCTCTGAGGCATTCTATTTGATCACTCCAGGCACTCAATCATTTTCTGCTTTGTATTATAGTTGTTTTTGTACCAGGCTCATCCCCTTACTTGTAAGCTCCTTGAAGGTGGGCACTAGGTCTTTGTGTCCCTAAAGCCTCCCTATACCTAATAGGTATTTAATAAAGGTCGGTGGAATATAATTGAATAGACAATTCTCCAAAAAAAAAAGAATTACAAACTATTAACTATCATATCAAAAATTTCAGAATGGCTGGCAATAAAAGCAATCCAATGAAACAATTATGAGGTTTCTGTGACACCAAGCAAACTGACAAGACGACAGAAGGCAGAAATAGTACATTTAATAATTGATGAACAGTTTAAAAGTGGTTTTCCTCACCTCTACTCTCTAAAGAACTCTGTAACAAACATTAATATGCCCCTCCTGCACATGAGGAATCTTGGCTTCAGAGCAGGCAAGGTTATCTATTGAGAGAAGGCCAGAATGGAAATGGAATTTGAATTGCTGGGATTTGAGGAGAAAGATGTTTTGGTAGATAGTCAAAAGGAAGTATGTGAATCTGTCAGAGATGGGGGGGGGAAGGGTTTACCTGCATCTGTGAGGGATGGGTTGATATCAGGTGAAATGCATTCATTGTGGTCAGAATTATCAATTTTATCCACTTGGTTCCAGGAACGAAAACACAGAAATATAATAGGACTAATGGACTCAGGTTGCAGATGAGGAAGTGCAGCTAGGTAGCTCAGTGGATAGAGTTTGGCCTGGAGTCTGGAAGACCCGAGGTTAAATCCAGCCTCAGACACTTAGCAATTTTGTGACCTTGGGCAAGTCATTTAAGCTCAGCTTCCTCCCCTATAAAATGGGAATATTAATAGCACCTACCTCACAGAGTTATGGTGAGGATCAAATGAGATGTAATCGTAAAGCTTTAGCACAGTTCCTGGCACACGGTAAGGGTTACATAAATATTAGTTATCATTAGATCAGCCAGAGATCAAAGGGGAGTAGAAATCATGCATGTCTTGGGAGCATGCTTCACCATCAGTTTTCTGAAAGAAAGGCCATTTTCTTTTTTTTAAAAAAGATATCTTTTGTTTTTATTTTAAATGTAATTTGATTTATTATCAATGAACACAAATCTATTTTCTCTGCCTTCCACATTCAAAAAAGAATTAAAAAAATATAAAATTCTTGTAACAAATTTGTGTAGTCAGACAAAGTCATTCCTTCATTGGCTATGTCCAAAAACTTTATGTTTTAATCTATACCCTGAGTTTATCATTACTCTGACAGGAGCTGGGTAGCATGCTTCAGTCACTGTATGTTCCCTGGTCACTGTGTTGATCGAAGTTCTTATGTCTTTCCAAGTTGTTTGAAATTTATAATGTTGTAGTTATGGTATTAATTGTCCTCCTGCTCACTTCTCTGTATCAATTCATACAAGTCTTCCCAGGTTTAAGAGAGATCCTTTTTCACAGGTGATCTCTTGAATAGCTTTCTTTACAGAGTAACTACATTTCGTGACTGATCAACAGGAAAGGGTTCATCATGTATTACTTCTCTTAGTCCTAACTAGTCCACCTGCCTCTCCTGTCCTGTGGAATTTTCACCCAGCTGCCAATTTGATTAAACACAAGTCTGGCCATCTCACTCCACTGTATGTGAAGCTTCACGAGCTCCCTGTTGCCTCTAGGATAAAATAGAGTTCTTTTGTTTGGAATTGAAAGCCTTTCATAAACTTTCATACTATTTTAACATCACTTTTGCTCATGTACTCTATCTTCCAGCCAAAACACCTGTCTTGTAGTTCCTGGTACGTACCATGCCATCTTTAATCTTCATGCCTTTGTACAGGCTGCCCCCATGCCTGGAATCCATTTCCTCCTCATTTGGATTCTTAGATTTCCCACTCCCCTTTAAGGCCCAGGTCAAATGCCACCTCCTACAAAGCTTTCCCTCATCCTTCCCTCCTGCTTCCCAGTTGTTAAGAAAGCCACATCCATAGATGAAACGATTAAATATTTATTTTTTGTGTGTATAGCTTTTTATACAGATAGATTAGTTAATGAAGGGCAGAAAAGGACACTGAAAAAAGTAATCTGAGACAATTCTAAGGATTGGAGAGAAAAGAGTCCTCAGGATAAATGTCCTGAGAGGATCTTTGTGATAGCAGCTCCGAGGCAAAAGCAATGACTACATTGCACTATTGTCCATCAACTATTTTACAAATGACAATTTTCAGCGTTTTGAAGGGTACAGCAGAGAAACTATAAATCAAAGACCTGTTTGAGCATTATTGGAAAAGTGTACATTGCTCGTTAGTGTTACACCTGATAGAACTGTTGATTTTGGTTTTCCTACCTGTGTTAGGATGGGTTACTACTTATAGTGATGCCTTGATTTGAAGCTTTAGAAACCAGTTAAGCAGAGAAGCCAGAGATCAGAAGAATGAGAAGACACAACAGCTGCCCAAAGAAAGAAGCTAAGGATGGAGAGAGAAACAAAAGGGTGTCTACTCGCTGCTGCTTTAAAGAGGTAGAGCAGAGGAGAATCAGAAGATAAGGGCAGCTACTTGGAACTTGGTGAGAGATAACTGATGCCAGACAGGTTCTGTTAGCTGTTGGGAGCTCACAAGGAAAGAACAGAATCATGCTGAGTGAAGAGCTCACTTTGCTTGTTTGTATTGCTCTTTACTGCCATCTACAGTTTGAAAGCTAACTGAGGCCAGCGTTACCCTACAGCTGATGGAAGAGGTATTTTCATTGGAGAAGAGCTCTGTAATAACTGAGAATGCATTGGAGACAACAGAATTCTTGCGTAGAGTTGGCTGGGGTTGTCTCCATAGCTTTTTACTGCCATCTATAGCTCCTTAGGGGCCCAGATGTAACTAGCCTAAAGGGCTTTTGTACTTTGCAGACTCAAGCGAACTAAAGGCCTTTGAGTTCTCATTGCTTCAGTGGCCAGCTAAGCGAACAGAACAGTTTATCCTAGGCTGAGGGCTGCTATCTCACTGAAAGAATGTAATGCCACTACAATGGGTTTAATGCTTTTGAGGCCTGAGAATAGTAAAGAATGGGATTCTTCCCGGTGGACATCTAGGTCTACAATTCAGTCTTAAGCTGACCCTAACACATTGATTTCCCTCTCTACTAGGTTTCTGTAAATATGAGCCCATTGCCTCCCCAGGTTTGAGGATGTTTTATGTTCTGATTATCTCTGTTTATTCTCTTTTGAGTAAACATTGTAATTATTCTTGCTATTGCCTTTTCTTTAGTTAATGTTTCATTTGAAAGAGTCTGGTGTCCAGATTACACAATAAATTCAAAATGGATATTCATCCTATATGTTAAAGGTCACACTGTAAAAAAAAAAATATGAGAGATAAATTGTATACTTTTTACAGCTACAGGAAAGAGATGTTTTCACAACCAAACAAGTGATAGAGGCAATTTCAAATGATACAATAGATCGTTTAAATTAGGTGAAATTGAAAATCTTCCACATGGACAAAATGAATGCACCTAGGCTAAGAATGGAAATAGTCAAATGTATCAAATTTCTTTGTATTTTGTAATTTCTAGAATAATGGTTTTATATGTGATATCTAGATAACTAACAAATATATAAGACTAAATGCAACCCAATAGATAAATGGTCAAAGGATATGAACAATCAATTCTTTTTTTAAATCAATTTTATTTTCAGTTCTTAATTGTCTTCCTCATTGAGAAGGAAAGAAAAATAAAAACTGTTACAACTATGTATAGTTAAGCAAAACAAATTCCCATATCATCCATATCAAAGAAAGAAAGAACAGAAAATATGCTTCAATCTGTACTCTGCATCCATCAGCTCTCTATCTGAAATTAGATAGCATGTTTCATCATGAGTACTTTGGATTTGTGGTTGGTCATTGGTGAACAAACAGTTCCAAATAGAATTGCAAATTAATAGACATATGAATGAAAATATACAATTTTAATAAGAGAAATGCAAATCAAAACAACTTGAGATTTTACTTCATACCCAGAAAACTGACCAAGTTAACAAAAGATGAGAATAATTAAGGTTGGTAGGGTTGTAAAAAGATAAGTGTACTAATCTATTGTTGGTGGAGCTATGAATAAGTGCAACTATTTTGGAAAGCAATTTGGAATTAAGCAAATAATGTGACTAAAATGTCCATACCCTTTGACTCCAGTTTTCCACTAGTGAGCATGTATTCCAAAGAAGTCATTGATAAAAAAGAATGGATAAATACTTGATAAATACATTGATAAAAAGAACATTTTTATATAAGTATTTTTATGGCAGCAATAAACTAGTAATAAGGTAAATGCCAGTCAATTGGTGAGTGGCTAAACAAATTGTTGTACATGATTGTAATGGAATATTTTGTGCTGTAAGAAATGAAAATAGAAAAACATGGAAACACATGTACTGATACAGAGTAAAATAAGCAGAGTCAAGAAATACATGATTGCAACAATGTAGATTGTAAAGAATATCTAGCAAAAAAAAATTGGAAGTGACTATTGCAAAATTACAAAGAACAAGTGTGGCCTCTAAGAAGAGATGTGAGAAAACACTGTCCTCTACTACTTTGCAAGAGCTGAAAGGTCTGCAGGTGTAGAATAAACTATTTTCAAATTTTTTTATGTATTGATGTGCTAATTGTTTTTCTCTCCTTCATATTTTTACTTTTAAATAATTATTTGTTATATGAAATGGTTCCCTAGGAAGTGTGGTGGGTAATTAATAAAAACTGAGGAAACAACCCAAGCTGCATGATTTATTAGCAAAATAAGAATAATAAATGGGTCAGTTGACACCCCAGTTGGTCCAAAGACCCTGAATATAGGGTGAGATAGATTTTATGTGTTAAAAACAATTATTCAAATAAGACCAATTAATTAAAGGAAAAAAATAACAGGATATAAGCTAGGATACAAAATTAGGTAATCTGATTTCTAATTGGAGGAAATATTAGGGACTTTCCAAATTGGGAGGGGTAAGAGTAAGTTTTGGTCAAGTTGGGAGGAGGAATGAGTAGGTTTTAGGGTCTTTTCCCCCAGAATTGAGAGATGCTGACTAATTGCAACTGCCTGCATTTATGAAACAATAGATGACTTATGCCATCTAGTTTCCCATAGATGATTTACAGAAAAAACAAGATGGAGGATAATACATGTAGCAACACAAGATGTAGTTAGTATTCGTGAGATAGAATCTAATTGGTTCTCTTGATTCCCACGCCAGACCCACTTCATTTTGTAACTGGTCTTTACTCCATTTCTTCAGAAGTTGGGGGAAAAGATACAGGGGAAATTTGGGTAATGTAAAAACAAAAGGTATTCATAATTTTTTTAAGAGCCCATAGTTTCATTGTGATTATGTGTAACTGGGAAGTATACTAGTAGAAGCTTAGGGACTACAATGGTAAGTAGTCTGAGTTTATTTCCTTCCCACCTCCACCATACCAGGGTTACCTCTAGGATCATGAATAAGTTTTAGCAGCATAGCCACCCTTTACTGGTCTTTAATCCTTGAAAAACCCCAGACCTTCCAGTGTGAGGGTATATTGAGGTGAGTAATGAACCCCAGAGAGAAAGGGTGTAGATGCCATGTTGGACACAATTCCAAAGACTATACTACCAGTTTGAGTGAATTCATGGCAATGTGTGGGCCACATGGGTATTTTGTAACCCGAATTCCTGATCCTGCTATCATTAGGGCTGTCTCCCTCCTTGGTGGAGTAAGTATTTCCATTTCTGTGGAAGTGTTATATTCTTTAAGGAGAATGTAAATTCTTTGAGGGCAAAGACTATATTCATTTTACATTTGTGGCCCCAACTTCTACTACAATGCCTTGAACATAGCAAGAGATTAATAAATGTTGAACATAAGCAGGAATTGTCAAATTAACATTTGCATTTTCATCTTGTCCCATCAAAAATGTGTAAGCTTTTAAGAGCATGGCATTATGTACTATCTTGCCTTGTATCATCCTTAGCATCTTGCCCTATGCTATGCACATGATCAGAATTTGTGCCGTAATTATTGAATAAAGGAATTATTTAGTGTCCATTCTCTTTAGATACTTGGTTTAGTATATTACTTACACAAAAGTATGTAAATGATGGAGCTTTGGGGATGTCTTCACCTGTTTCAAAGGTTGCAATGCTACAATTTTTTTGCTCTTTATTTTTCAGTAAGGCAACGGGTTCTGAAGCGAGAGAACCATGAGTTAGAATTGGCAGGAGGGGAAAAATTGAAACTCACTGTCACACTGCCTACAGTAAAGGATGGGAATAAAATCAGTGAGAAACCAGTCACCACAAAAGTAAGTATGTCATGGACTGGGAAGTGGTAGAAAGGCAGCAGTGGTAGAAAGCCCCACAGAAGTATGCAGTGTAGTAGGGCTATGAAGGAAGAAAATGTTTGAAAGGGATATGAAGGTATAAATGTGGCAATAAACGTGAGCTCTTGGATGGATTGAAAAGAGCAAGTATTGACTTGAAGGGGAATAGAGAAAGCAATAGACTCTGGAGTCACATGGTGGAGAACATTGAGAGCTAAGCCCAGGGCTTTACATTTAGCCTTTACATTGGTTTGTCCCTCCCCACTTCAGTCTCTTATAATCTATATCCAAACATAGGTTGAGTGCTGCCTTCTATATAAGGCTTTTCCTGACTCCCTGAATTTTTAGTACTCTTTATCTGGAACCATATGATCATAGATTTAGAACTGGGAGGGCTCTTAGAGAACATCTAGTCCAACCCCCGCAAAGGAAAGTGAAGTACAGAGAGTTAAGTGACTTGCTCAGGGTCCCACAGCTTATTATTCAATGAACTTTTATGAAGTGCCTACTATATGCCAGGCACTGTACTAAGCATAATGGATTCAAATAAGAAAAAGTTAATCCCTGCCTTCAGGGAGTTTATAATCCAACAAGGGAAGACACGTAAAGGGAACCTGAAAAGTGGTGGTGGAGGGGAGGTACCAGGGGTAACCCAGTGTGAGGGCATTAGGTTTTGTGGAGTTCAAACCAAGCAGAACTGTAGATAGAAAGTGGGGAGTTAGTTGGAAAATCCAGATCCCAACCTTTATTACAGATAAAGGCAAGCTTTGGGAGTTTAGTGTTCTACCCTCCAGCTATCCAATCAGAGAGGAGGAGAGAAACATGAAATACTTGGGAGTCTACTGCCAAGACAATCCCTCACCAAAAGCTGAGATTACTTTGAATTCCTCAATGCTAAATAATACATTTAAAATTTAATTCACCCATAAAAGCAGAGTAGAATGGAAAGGCATCTTGCTTCCTTTTACTCTTTTCTTCCTTGAGCTAAAAATAAAACAAAAACCAAAACTCTTCCTCAACCCTTCCTTGTATGGTACAAATGATTCACCTTCCAATCATTCTTTAATGACTCCTCAGTTAATCAAACTCTTAAATTGGGTACGCAGGACTGAACATGGTACCCCAAGTGTGGTACAAGTAATGCATAGACTCAGCAGGATTATTATCTCCTTTGTGTAATGAATTTCTGTGGCTTAGGGAAGCTACAGGATTTGGTTTATTTATTCTAATTGTATGTAACCAGGCTGGTTCTAATATATCTTCTTGGAGTAGAGGAATTCTTCTTAATATTTGGGTTTTGTTTGGTTTTCAGGAATCCAAGACCAAACATGGAGCCCAAGAAAAAGGTAACATTTAATTCTGGATGAGTATGATATGCAGAAATTAATCTTTTCCTTTCCTCATTATGAAAGGTCAGAATCCTCATACCTGATTTTCTATAATCATCAGGGTGTGCTCAGTTTGGTCATGGTTAAAATACATGATCCTGTGTGGAGCATGGTGGAAAGAGGTAGAATGGCTAAGGCTAAGCAAGTTATTTGAGTCTGTTGCAGAAAACTGATAGAGGTTAAGGATGACTTGAAGTTTATGAACATGGAGGCATTAGAACAGTGGTAGTCCTCTTGGCAAAAATAGGGAAGTTCAGATGATGGTTGGTTTGGAGAAAAGATAATCAGTTCTGTTTTGGTCATGTTGAGTTTGAGATGCTTTCAGGACATCCAGTTAAAAATGCCCAATAGACAATTGGTGGTGTAAGCCCGAAGTCAAGGGAGAGACTAGGGCTAGACAAATAGACCAGGCAGTCATTTGCATAGACATTCTACATTCACATTCTATGTGAATTGGTTTCTTAATGTCAACTTTAACAATGGTCTTAATACTTGAGACAGAAAACCCTTGGATAATGTGGCTTTTCTAACATATTCCCTTCCTTGTCTGGGTTGTTATAATGAGAATTCTTGTAACTGACTGGCAGATTGGCCTAAATAACCTCTATATTGCATTCCAGCATAGATTCCATGGTCATATTTTTTTTTAATTTTTTTTTCTCCCTACCCTATCCCTCAAATAACTCTTACTCCTAACTTCTTACTTTTCTATCAATTGTACTGTTCTTCCAGTTAGTCAAGCTTAAAATCTCAATGCCAGTTTTTTTTATTCCTTCCTTTCCCCCATTGTCCCATATCCCATCAGTCACTAAGTCCTGTTGGTTCTTGCCTACTTTCCATCTTTTCCATGCCCCTTGCTGACATTGTAGGTGAGGACCTTATTACTTCACACCTGGCTTGCTACAGAGGCCACCTATCTGGTCTCTCTGCCTCCATTCTTTTCCTCTTCCAATCCATTTTACACATCAATGCCAATAAAACTTTTAGTATTGCTTGCATCATGTTGTTTCCTCTCCCACATGCCTTCAGCAGTTCCCCATTGCTAACAAAATAAAAGTCAAACATATTGGTCTCTCTTGTCTCTCCACTCAGACTATAAATTCTTTGAAGACAGGAATGATAGACATTCTGGTCCCACAGCGCCCTGCACAGTACCTTACAATCAATGAATCAATCAACCAATCAAACAACATTTGTTAAATGCCAACTATGGGCCAGGTACTGTGCTAAGCTCTGAGGATAAAAAGACAAAAGCACAACAGTCCTTGTCCTCAAGGAGCTTACATTATAACAGGATAACAATATGAACATATGTGAAAGAATGAGTAAACAACAAAAAGATTCGATCATAAAGAGCTATTGTCATTGTATGAATTGTTCTCTTGGTTCTGTTAACTTTACTCTTCGTTAGTTCATATTAAGTTTTCCAAGGTTTCTCTGAAATTTGTTATAACATAATAGTATTCTATTACATTTATATACCATAACTCGTTTATCTATTCCCCAAGTTATGTGCACTCCCTCAGATTCCCATTCTTTGCCACCTCAAAAAGAACTATAAATATTTTTGTGCATTCTTAATTAATGTTTGTTTTGCTTAAGACTAATCCCTTCCCTAATATGCCTTCCCTCTAATTTCTTGTATCTATGATTTGTTCTCAGACCACCCATTCTTTAGGATTGTTATTTAATTTCCAATTAATTTCTAATCTTCCCATTCTCTTTCTTCTCCACCTTCTTCCAACTAGCGGCATCAGAAGACGAGGACACAAAGCTCCCACTAGAGAAAAGATCAGCCCAGACCAAGGGTATCTCCAAAGGCCCTGGAACTATTTCCTCATTGGTTGTATTTAAAAATATCCAAGACACGATGACAGAAGATCTATTGACTTTGTTGGTGGAGAATGTGAGTGGCTTCTCAGAAACAAGAGGAGACTTTACAATAGAAATCATACCAGAAGCTGAGGTTGCTGTGGTTACCTTTATGAAAACCATTGGTAAGAATGGGTTGAAAATCTGAAAGTTTTAATTTGTCACCTTGAGATTCTGATTAGCAAAGGAAAGATCCATCCCTGAAATTTGCTTTTTAGGAATTTTGGCAAATAATAAATATTCATAAAGTATCTACTATGTTCCAGGCACTGTTTTAAGTTCTGTAAATACAAAGAAAACTAAAAGATGGTCCCTGCCTTCAAGAAGCTCATAATCTAATGGGGGAGACAGAAAGCAAATGAATATGTACAAATAAACTATATACAGGTTAATAGGAAATAATGAAAAGATAGAAGGCACTAAAATTAAAAGGAGTTAGGAAAGGCTTTCTATAGTAGGTCGGGTCTTACTTTGGACTGAAAAGAAGCCAGGGAAGGCAGTAAGTAAACATGGGGAGGCATAGCATTCCAGACAAGGGGGGCAACTAGAGAAAATGCCCAAAGCTAATAGATGGAGTGTGTTGTTTGTGGAATAACTAGAATGCCAGTGTCACTGGATCCAAGAATATGTGGCAATGGGTTAAGTGTAAGAAGGCTGGAATGGTAGGAGAGGGCTATGAAGGTTCCTAATGCCAAACAGAGGATTTTGTATTTGATCCTAGGGGTGAGAGGAAGCCACTGGAGTTTGAGTAGGAAGGTAACATGATTGGATTTGCACTTTAGGAAAATTTCTTTGGTGGCTGAATGGAGAATGTACTTCAGTGGGAAGAGACCACCATCAGACTATTGCAGCAGGCAGATTCACCAGCAGACTATTGAGATAGTCCAGGCATGAGGGGATATGAACCTGGACCAGAGTGATAGCGGTGTTAGAGGACAGAAACCTATTTGAGAGATATTGCAGAAGTGAAATCAATAGGCCTTGGAAATAGATTGGATATGGACATGAGAGATAGTGAGGAGCTGAGAATTACTGCTAGGTTGTAAGCCTGAAGGACTGTGAAGATAGTGTTGCCCTCTATAGTAATAGGGAAGTGGTGGTTGGGGGAGGTTAGGGGAAAAGAAAATAGGTTGAGTTTTGGACATATTGAATTTGAAATATCTACTGCATATCTGGTTTGGGATATTTGAAAGGCAGTTGGAGATGTGAGACTGGAGATCAGCAGAGAGGTTAGCATAAGATAGGTAGATTTGAGAATCATCAGCATTGAGATGGTAATTAAATCCATGGGAGCAGATGAGATCACCAAGTGAAGTAGCATGGAGGGAGAAGAGAAAAGAGCCCAAAACAGAACCCTGTGGGACACCTTCAGTTAGAGAGTATGACAAGGATGAGGATCCAGCAAAGGAGACTGAGAAGTCAGATAGGTAGGAGGAGAACTAGGAGAGAGTGTTGTCCCAAAAATCTAGATAAAAGAGAGTTTTGAGGAAAAGATGGTGATCAGTAGTGTCAAAGATGGCAGAGTAGTCAAGGAGAATGAGGAGAGAAAAAAGGCCTTTGGATTTGGCAACTAAGAGATTATTGGCAACTTTAAAGAGAGCAATTTCAGTGAATGATGAGGTTGGAAGTGAGATTGTAAGGGGTTAAGAAGAGAATGAGAGGAGAGGAAGTGGAGGAACCTGTTGTAGATGATCATTTCAAATAATTTAGCTACAAGAGGCAGAAGACAACACACCAAGAACTATGAAGAAAGAAGATATATACAAGATCTCAGGAAGACACTAAGGATTAAGGAGGATTAGGAAAGGTTTCTTGGAGAAGGTGATACTTTTACTTAGGCTTGAAGAAAGCTAGGGAAGCCACTAGGTGGAAATGAGGAAGGGGAGAATCCCAGGCATGGTGAATAGCCAGAGAAAATACTCTGAGTATAAGTGCCTCAGGGGCCATTTCCTCTATAAATTATTTTATAATTCAGCCAGCTAAGTGTTCTCCTTGTATTTCTGTATTTCTCATAGCATTTATTCCACTCTCTACTGGGTAGTTCTTTGTGTAGGGCTTTTTTCCCAACTTTCTTGAGAGCAGGATTTGTGAATCCTTCCAGTTTCTAGCATAGAACCTAGAACATAGTGAACATTTTAATCAATGTTTGTTGAATTTTGAACTATCAAATGTTGGACAAGAGGTGGGAGATGATCTCTGATGTCAGAACCACCCCTACTCTTTAAAAAGAAGACATAACCCAGTCTGACTTAGACCCAAGTGCTGCATGGACACAGAGAAGCACGTTAATTTCAAAATCATGATTATTTCCTAAAGATTATTTTAGGTGTGTGAATTTTCATTTAGAAATTTAGCTTTTACTACTGTTTTAACTCTGATATGTTTTTCTTCCACAACTTAAAGCTAAGGATGCAATGTTCACAAGTTTTTTTTTTTATTTTTCTTTGCAGATGCAGAGAGATTTATTAATATTTGTGCTAAGAATCACAAAGTAGGAGAACTTAAGATTTCTGCATCACCTCTAGAAGTGACAAGGACTATTCTGGTGGAAGACCTACCCCCAGATGTTAATGAATATTACATCACTCTTTTCTTTGAAAACCAAAAAAATGGAGGAGGACCAGTAACCAGAGTCCAATATTTTCCAGAGGATAATTCAGCCCTGATTCAGTTTGATACATGTGAAGGTAATTATATTTATTGCTCACTTTATCTTGTTTTTCTTAAAGTGGTTGTTTTCCTATCATAGGTTCCTCGAAGTATAGGATTTAGATTTAGAAGTGGACTAGTCCTCAGTCACCTTCATTTTGCAGATAAGGAAACTGGCCCAGGGAGAATAAGTGACTCACCCAACAAAGTCTCAAAGTTATTACGTGTCAGAGGAATGATTTTAACCCAGACCCTTAAACTATAAAGTCAGTGATCTTTACACTTGAACATAATAATAGCTGACATTGGTATAGCTCTTACAGTCATTATGCATTTGTACCTCAAAATAACCCTGTGAGGTGACTACATGGGTTTTGGTTTGGTTTTGGGTTTTGTTTGGTATATTCCTATGATATTACTAGATTAGAGATCATCTATCCGGTGCTTAACACACAAGTAGTACCTTAGTAGGACCTAAAGTGCTGGAACTCCTCAGTAATTATTTATTTTCAATTTCTCTGGCAAGTGTGTAGTAGATATCCAACTATTGGATTTTGCAGATTTATGTAGAAAGTTGGCTTTTGTTCTCAGAATATATCAATACTACTTCACCTGAGAGGAAAGAAAGGGCCAATGATAATACATCCCCTGCACACTCACAATGCAAGCCTGTATTGATGGTTAGTGTCCAACAAGAGTACTTCTAAACTCAGTATAAACAATCTTGATGTTCCAAGAGCCACTAACATTGATATATTCATTACATAAATAAGGCATCAAATATGGTAAAACAAAACAAAAGAAAACAACTACTTTTCAGGCAACTGATTTAGTGATCATTATAACTCACAAAACTGAGAACACAAAAGAAATAGAGAAATCCCTTCAAACATATAAAAGGACCAAACTGTCAGGAGATGACAAAAGAGATTAATAACCCAATCTCAGAAAATCAAATAGAACTAGCTATAGAAGAGCTACCAATGAAGAGACCTCCTGGTCTTGATGGGATATGATCCTTATCAGATTTACAGAATTCTACCAAACTTTTAAAGAACAATCAATAACCCTATTTCATGTTATTTTCTTTCATTGAATAATATTTTATTATTTTTTCAACAATAGGTAAAAACAATTTTAACATTCTTTTTTAAAATTTTGAATTCCAAATTCTCCCCCTCTTTCCTTTCCTTCCCCTCCCTCCCCCCTTCCTGAGACAGTAAACAACTTGATATAAGTTATACACAGGCAATCATATAATGAAAAATATATTTACATATTAGTCATGTTATAATAGATAACACAGGTAAAAATACCACCAAAAAATAAAGTGAAAAAATAGTATGCTTTGATCTGCATTCAGACTCCATCAGTTCTTTCTCTGGAGGTAGATAGCATTTTTCATCTTTACAAATTATTTTTAAAAAATTGAGAAAGTACCTTACCAGAATCATTTTATGTGACAATATAGTTCTAATACATAAACAGAGAAAGATATAACACAGAAATAAAACTATATCCATTAATGAATGTTTATTTTTTAAAAATTTAAACAAAAATCCTATCAAATATACTACAGTGATTTTTCCAAGGAATCTAATAGGAATGTAAGGATGGTTTAACATTAGGAAAATAATCAACATAATCATATTAAAAACCAAAATACCAAAACCACGTCATTATCTCAATAAATATAGAAAATAAGCCTTTGTCAGAATACAACACTCTTTTATGCTAGAAACTCTACAAAGTATAGGCATAGAGAAACCTTTTAAAATAATCTAAAAACATCTATCAAAAACCTAAAGCAAGCATTATGTACAAAAGCAGTACATGAGAACCTTTTCCAATAAATGTAGAAGTGGAGCAAAAATGCCCATTATCCTGACTCTTATTTGATATAGTTCGGGAAATACTAGCAACAACAATAATAATAAAAAGAAGTTAAAATTTTAAAGATAGGTGAAGAGGAAATAAAACCATTCCCATTTGCTGATGATATAATGAAAATCCTAAGGAATCAGCAAAGATACTAACTGAGACCATTTAAAGCTTCAGCAAAGGTGCAGGCTACAAAGTGAACCCTCAAAAATAAATCCATTCTTATATAATAATAGGAAAATCCATGAAGTAATAATAAAGAGGAAAATACTATTCCAAATAATTACAAAATGTATAAAATATCTGGGGACTGATGTACCGAAGTACACACACACACACACACACACACACACACACACACACACACACACTCAAACACAAGCATGTATAAATTCAATTACAAAATACCCCTTAAAGAAATAAAGAATAAATTAAATAACTGGGGGAATACTGAGTGCTCATGACTAGGCTATGATAATATAATAAAAATGATAATGCCATCTAAATTAATTTATACTTTTAATGCTCTACCAATCAAATTACCAAAGGCTTACTTTATAGAACTAGATAGCATGCTAACAAAATTCATTTGTAAAAAAAAAAAAAAAAAAAAAAAAAAGATCTAGAAGATATCAAGAGAAATGATAAAAAGAAGTTGGGACAAATGACGAATAGCACTTCTAGACCTTAAACTATATCATAAAGCAATAGTCATCAAAACTATCTGATGCTAGTTAGAAAAAAATAGAGAAGTAGATCAATAGGACACACTAAATGAAAGAAAATCAGAAAAATTCAATTCAATGACAGTGTTTGATAAAATAGAACACCCATATTATTTAGCAAAGGACTCTTTATTTGACAAAAAAACAGCTGGGAAAACTGGAAAACAGACTGGCAAAAATTATGGTTAGATCAATACCTTGCAGCAGGCCTGCACAACATTCAACCACAGGCTGCTTACAACCCATGCCACTTGAGGCCTGCCAAAGGATTTTGGGCATCCTGTGAAAAATGTAGAGTATGTAACTATGGCTCAGGCCATCCTCAGACCCCAAGGCTGTTCTTATACAGAGCTAATAGGGCAAACTGGCCCTTTAAGAAGAAATGATTAAGAATCTGCCTTAAAGAATATTCTACAATATGTTCTAAATGGGTATGTGACCTTAATGTTAAAGATAATACTATAAAAAGAATTAGAAGAGAAGTAGGTCATGTGCCTCTCACAGGCATGTGTAGATGTATTCTTTTTAAAATTTTTAATTTTTAGGAGATGTATTCTTAACAAAAAAGGGATAGAGGCAATTACAAAATATGAAATAAATAACTTTGATAATATGAAACTGCAAAGTTTCTACATGGATAAATTTAATGTACATAGAATAAGAAGGGAAGTGGGAAAAAAACTATTTGTATTAAATTTCTCTGATAAGGGTTTGATATCCAAGATATATAAGCAATTAATCAATATATAGATACACATATACATGTGTATGTATGTATATACATATACATATAAAACTAATAACTGAAGTAGAGTCAAGATGGTACAATAAGAGGAAGCATTAAGATCTAGCACTCCTCCTTGACAAATATCTAGAGAATGCATTAGACTGAATTCTGATCAGGAAAAAAAAGAAAAAGTCACACAGTAGGTCATTTTTCCAGCCCAGGGAGACTGAAGGGAGAGAAAGAGGTCTGCAGACACTGGGGAGGGGGGGGTCTAACCAGAGTGCATGACTGATACAGCAGTGGGGAGCATTCCAGTGCCCAGAGATGGAGAGAGGATCAAGACAGAGTGCCAGAAAGATATGCCAGGGGATCCCTGAGAAAGCACTGAATGCAGGAAAGGGTGCCATCTGGTAGCTCTGACACAGACCACCCAGTGTCTGATCACAGATCCAGGGAAGAGAGAAGCAGTTGTAAGCAATGATGCTAGTTGTGACTGTGAACAGAACATGATCCAGGAAGCAAACAGTAACTGTGTGGTTCTGATGCCAGGAGCAGAGAGCAATATCTTAGACCAAAGAAGAAGTGGCAGATTAGTTTCTCGGAGCCTGTAGAGCCTCCCAACTGGCCAATAGTAGCTGAGTCCAGCAGTAATCCACTGAAACTCCCAACCAGAAACAAGCCATAGGCCCAAACCAGGGTAAGCAACAGGATTGACACCAGGAACAGGCAGGGAACAGACCTCCCTCCAACCCCACTCCAGATCACACCTCTTTGTGAGCACTGAAAGCTTGTAGGACCCCAGCCAGAGCTGTGAAAGCAGCAGAAGGATATGGGGACAGAAGTTCAGGTCAGCTCTCTCTTCCAGAAGTACACAAAGTCAAACACTAAAATAAAGTCCAAAGTCAAGAAGCAATGTTAGAAGAATGTGCAAAGAAAGAAACTGACTATAAAGAGCTATTATGGCTATAGGGAAGCTCAGGACACAAACACAGAAGAAAAGAATTACTTGAAAACATCTACAAGCAAAGTTTATAAGGAAAAAAAATGCAGCTGAGACTCAAATCTAACAAGAATTCCTGAAAGAGCTAAAGTTAGATTTTAAAAAAGGACTAAAAATGACTTATAAAACTAAAGAAGAACATATAAAAGAAAGCATGGAAAAAGAGGCAAGAGCTAGTGAAGAAAGATATGAACGGAGTATTAACATCTTGGAAAAAGAAGTACTAAACATTGCTAAAGAAAACAATTGCCTGAAAATTAGAATTGGCCAAATGGAAACTAATGACTCCATGAGATATTAAGAAATAATAAAATCAAGAAAAAAAGTCTGAAAAAAGAAGATAATGTGAAATATCTCTTAGGAAGAACAACTGACTTGGAAAAGATTGGAGATAATTTAAAAATCAATAGACTACCTGAAAGCCATGAGCAAAAAAAATTTTTTTAAAAACAGCTTAGACATCGTATTTCAAGGAATCATAAAAGAAAATTGCCTAGATGTCTTCAAATGAGAGGACAAAGTAGAAATAGAAAGAATCTCATGGTCACTTCTTGAAACAAATTCCAAAATGAAAAGTCCCAGGAATATTATAGTCAAAATTCAGAGCTCCCAAGTCAAGAAAAAATGACATAGGCAGCCAGAAAGAAAGAATTTGTATATTGAAGAATCAAAGTCAGGATCACACAAGATTTAGCAGACACCATGATAAAAGAGTGGAGGGTTTAGAAGATGACATTTCAGAAGGCAGAAGATCTAGGCTTACAACCGAGAATAATCTACCCAATAAAACTGAGTATAATCTTACTGAAGGACAAACGTATTTTTAATGAAGTAGATTACTTCCAAGCATTTCTGATGAAAAGATCAGAACAGAGTAGAAATTTTGACATCAAACACAGGAGTCAAGAGAAATATAAAAAGGTAAACATCATTGAAAAATAATGTTTACATTCTTATATAGGGAGATGATCTATACAGTCCCTCAGAACTTTATCATTACCAGGAGTCATAGAGGGAGTCTAATTAGAAAGAATGCCTGGATATGATTTTGTCATGTTTGGATGATCCATCTAAAACCAAGAGCAAACATTATTTATAATGGGGATAAGCTAGAAATTTTCCCAATAAGATCAGGGATGAAGTAAGAATATGCATTATCACCATTAATATGTAATGCTGTACTAGAAATGCTAACTATAAGCAATAGAACAAGAAAAGAAAATTTAAAGACTAAGCACAATTAATGAAGAAACAAAAGTATCACTTCTTGTAAATGATATGGTGGCTTTCTTCAAGAATTCTGGGTAGCCAACCTTAAAAAATGAATTAAAACAATTGACAACTTCAGCAAAGCAGCAGCATATAAAATAAACCCACACATATTACCCACATTTCTGTATGTTCTCAACAAAATTGATCAGGAAAAGCTAGAAAGAGAAATTTCATTTAAAATAAATATGGACAGTATGAAGTACTTGGGAGTCTTCCTGACAAGACACATTGAGGAACTATATGAACAAAATTTCAAAATACTCTTCACACAAATAAAGACAGAACCAGATAATGGGAAAAATTTTAATTGCTTGTGAGTGAATGGCAATACTACCTAAACTAATTTGCATGGTCAGTGACATATCACTCAAACTAAAAAATTACTTTACAGAGCTAGAAAAAAATAATAACAAAAAGCCATCTGAAAGAACAAAAGGTAAAAAATATCAAAGGAAGCAACGAAAAAATAATGGGAAGGAAGGACATCTGGAGTACCAGATCTCAAACTCTTCTGCAAAGATGGAATCATCAAGATAATTTGCTACTGGGTAAGAAATAAGAAGCTGATAAGTGGAATAGATTAGGTAAATAATATACAGAAGCTAATGAGTACAGTAACCTTGTCTTTGATAAACCCAAAGACTCCAGCTATTGGGCATTAACTCACTATTCAACAAAAACTGTTGGGAAAAGTAGAAAATAGTCTGGTGGAAACTAGGTATAGAGCAAAATGTCACACTGTATATCAAAATAAGATCCAACTAGGTATATGATTTACACATAAAGGGTGACATAATGAATAAATTAATGGAACATGGAAGAAATTACCTGTCAGATCTATGAACAGGGGAAGAGTTCATGACCAAACAAGAAATAGACAAGTTTATAGCAGGTAAAATGGATAATTTTGATTGCATGAAATTAATAAAGGTTTTGCACAAACAAGAAAAGCAGGAAACTGGAGGAAAATATCTTTGCATCAAGTTTCTCTAATAAAGGTCTCATTTTTAAGATATAGAGAGAACAGAGTCTAATTCACACAAAAAAAGAGTCATTCCCCAACTGATAAATGGTAGGAGGATATGAATAGGCAATTTTTTAGAGGAAAGAATCCAGCCTCCAGATAGACATATGAAAAATGTTCTAAATCACTAACAATTAGAGAAATGCAAATTAAAATAACTTTAAGGTATCATTTCACACTCATCAGAATGGCTAAGATGACAAAAAAGAAAAATGACAAATGTTTGAGGGACTGTGAGAAAACAGGTATACTCAAGCCCTGTCAATGGAACTCTGAACTAGTTCGCTATCTCCAGAAAGTAATTTTGAGCTATGGCCCCCAAAGTTGGTAAACTGTGCATACTCTTTGACCCAACAATATCCCTATTAGTTCTATATCACAAAGAGGTCAAAGAAAGAGGAAGAGGGTCCATATGTACAAAATATTTATAGCAGCTCTTTCTGTATTGATAAAGAACTGGAAACTGAGAGGATGCTCATCAGTTGGGGAATGGCTGAGCAAGTTATGATATCTGAATATGATGGAATACTATTATGCTGTAAGAAATGATAAAGGTGAGAAAGATACATAAACTGATGCAAAGTGAAATGTGCAGAACCAGGAGAAAAAATTATACAATAACAGCAATATTGTGGAGACAACTTTGAAAGAATTAGTAACTCTGATCAATACAATGACCAACCACAATTCTAAAGGACTCACCATAAAACATGCTATCCACTTCCAGCTATAGAGTTGTCAGCCTCAGAGTGCAAATTAAAACATATTTTTTTCTCTTTCTTCTTTATTTTTTGATATGGCTAATGTCGGAATTTATTTTGTATGATTTGTAATGGGTTTTGTTTTTCTTACCTTCTCAATAGATGAGGGAGGAAGAGAAGGAAGTTAGTGAATTTGGAACTGAAGATGAAATCAAATTTTTTAAAAAGGCTAATAATAAATGAGTGGTCAAAGATATGATTTAAAAAGTCTCAAATGAAGAACTGCAAAGTATTTGTAACCACATGAAAGAGGACTTCAAATTACTAGTAATGAGAGAAATGAAAACAATCTTGATGTTTCATCTCACACAGTAAAAATTGGCTAAGGAGAGAAATGGCAATTAATTAATTAATATTTAATGTTGGAGGAGTTGTGGGATGGTAGGCATATTAATTCATTGTTAATGAAATTGTGAAATGGTACAACCATTTGGGAAAGCAGTTTGGAATTATACAAGTAAAGTGACTAAAATATCAATATCCTTTTAACCAGAGACTCTATTACTGGGCTTATTACCCAAGGAAGCCATAATAAGAAGAAAGCCCCCAAATACAGCAAAATTTTTATGGTAGTACTTTTTTCTGATAACTAAGAAATAGAAACAAAATAGAAGCCCATAGATAGGGAAATGTTTAAACAAATTGTGGTGTATTGATGTAATTAGATAGAACTATGCTTTAAGAAATAATGATTGTGGGGCAGCTAGGTGGCATAGTAGATAAAGCACTGGCCCCTGGAGTCAGGAGGACCTGAGTTCAAATCTTGCCTCAGACACTTACTAGCCATGTGACCCTGATCCAGTCACCTAACCCCAATTGCCTCCACAAAGAAAGAAATGGTAAGTGTGATGAATATGGAGAAGCCTAGGAAGATCTTGCATAAAATGTTGCAGAATGAAATAAGTAGAGGCAAGAAAATAATATACACAGTGACGGTTGCTATTGTTCAGTCATTTCAGTTGTGTCTTTGAACTTAGGTCTTCTTGGCTCTAGGCCCAGTACTCTGTGCACCATAGCTCCACCTAGATGTCCTCCCCTTCCCCCACCCCCAGCAAACATAACGACTACAACATTACAAAAGGAAAAAATAGCACACACAAAAATATCAAAAGTGAATGTAACAAAATTTGAAAGATTTAGCATGACTGAAATGAAGAAATATGAGAGGATACCCCTTCCCCACCCCTTTATGGAGACAAAAGGGCCACAGGTATTGCATATTGCACATGTATTTAGATTTTTTCAGTGTATTTTTTCTGGCTTTTCTCTTTATTTTCTTTGAAAAATGCCCTATGTTCTATAAGGTGGCTCTCTGAAAAGGAGTGGGGGAAACTGGGGAAAACTATGGTGATATAAAAAACAAAGGACATCAATAAAAAATTTTAATACTCTCACAGTTATATAAAACTTTAAAATTTTCAAAGTCCCTCATAAAAATTTGGCAAAGTAGGTGATACAAGTATTAAGAGCTCCATTTTACAGATGAGGAGCCTTCTCAAGTTAGAGAAGCTAAGTGATTTGCCACAGCTAGTCAGTGCCAGAACCAGGAACCAGGTCTCCTGACTTCATGACTTGCATCCTTTCTCTGCAGTACCTTATGCTATCTACCAATATATTCTTGCAAACTTTAGGCTAAGTATCCCTTGCCAAGCACTAAGTTTGTGCTTAAGAAACAAATATTTCTTAAATTAGACATTTCAGTGTTATTATCAGTTAGTTTCCAGTGCTATTCTAATAAAGTGGCTATAGCTTGGTAAATGAACATATTTGGAAGGAAAATAGTAAGTTCAAGTGGCAGAAAAAGTGCAAAGTGACTAGTAATTAACTTTGTTTAAAGTAGAAATGAAGGCACGGGCTTCTTTCTATAAAAGGAAGACAACTTTTTAATTAAAACACCTTAATGCAACCAGTGTTTTTTTTTAAGAGAATGAACCTTTTAATATAAAGATTTTTCTTTATTTTTAATTTTTTTTCTTTTTTAGTGCTTGACACCATATTGACAAAGAAGCTTCTCTTCAACAACAGTCCCATTTCAATGTTTCCATACTACCCTACTTTGGGTACTGCTTTATATGGAAAGACAAAGCCACCAGTGAAGCTGCCAGAACCCTTAACAGTGCCAATGGAGCCTTATCTGTTGAAGTTCTTACAGAAAGATGATAAAGCAATTGGAGAGATAACTAGCAGCATGGAGAAGGCTCACTGTCAGCTAACATGGCCCCAACCTAATTGTAAAGGGTCAGAAATTACACCCAGTGCAAAAATTACACTCAGTCCTTCAGCTACCTTAGTCAGCCAAAGAAGAACAAAGAGCAACATAATCAAGACATGGAGTAAAAATGTTTCTGAAAGATTCTCTTGTCTTATGTCTAAATACCAGGTCACTAAGTATAGAGTGGACCCAGTGGTGTGGGAAGCCATCAAAAATAGCATAGAAAGTAAGAGCATTTTGACTGAGTTTGATAAGCTTCAGGAGACAGTGATCATAGCAGGGAGACTGGAGGATGTGCAAAGAACTGAACCACAAATGAGGACTCTGATAGAAAATGCCACCCAAAAAATAGAAAGAGAAAAACAAAGCATAAGAGAGAACTTGACTGTGTGTCCTGGACGGTTTTCCATTTTACACAACAACAAGTTAGAAGAGACTCTGCACAAGAAATACCCAGAGCTGGGAGTCACTTACGATGCCCTCACAAAGAGCATTTGCCTGACTGGATTAGCTACAGATGTGTACAAAGCAAAGAGTGAAATTTTAGAGAAGCTACAGAGCTTGGCCAAGAAATTTCTCTATCTTCCTCCTGAAATCATTCAGTTTCTGCAGCAAGTAAACTGTGAGGCATTCTCTGAATCTCTTTTTGGAGCTGAAAATATTCCTGCTGTTTATGAGATGGAGGGTGAAGCAGTTGTGCTGGTTGGCTTCTCTCCCCAAATTCTTTCAGAAGCTGAAAAACATATGAAGAAAGCCTTGAGCTTCAAGTGCATCAATGAGGTAGACAGTTGGATTCTTAATGATTGTCAGTGGAAAACACTCACTGGCAATTTAAATAAGAAATACAATGGCTCCTCGAAGACCGTAATAATAGAACAGCAAAATTCAGACACTGGAGTTAAGATAATAATTGCTGGTTGTGTTAGTCCAGTGTGTGAAAGCTACCTAGAACTTTGTGAATTTATAGAAAAAAACACAAAAATAGAGGAATTGGTCTCTGTGAAATCTCTAGCAGTTATCCAGTATATGAAGGAGGAAAATAAGCAAATCAGGGAAAAACTAAAGAAGAAAAATGTAAAGGTCAGTTTCAAAACCCTGGCCAACCAAAGGGGCATTTCACTGAGTGGTCCAAAAGAAGAAGTAATGAGAGGAGTGGCCATGGTCAAACAAACACTAGATTCAATACATATTAGAAACTTTAGCATTGGTAAACTAGGAGCCAAATCCTTATTCAAAGACGGAGAAGATGTTTATAAAATGGAAGCAAAAAGGAAGTATAGTTGTTCAATTTGGCTACAAGAAGATGGAGACAAGAGCAGTGGGGGCAATATTGATGAGCAGAAGGTCCCCTGCAAGATAACCTTAGAATGTGGCATCTTATTAACTGTTCAGGAAGGTGACTTAACCCACTTCTCAGCAGATGTGGTGGTGAATGCAGCAAATGAGGACCTAAAGCACTTTGGAGGTCTGGCAGCTGAACTCTCTAAAGCAGCAGGCCCAGAGCTACAGAGGGACTGTGACCAAATAATCCAGGAACAGGGTAAGATCCTTCCTGGCCGTGCTGTTGTCTCAGCTTCTGGACAACTCCCATATCAGCAAGTGATTCATGCTGTTAGCCCCAGGTGGAAACAAGAGCATGCTCACAGATGTGTGCAGTTATTAAAAACTGCTATCACAGAGATTTTTTATCTGGCTGGACTCTATGGGCACACTTCAATAGCCATCCCAGCTCTTAGCTCTGGGATCTTTGGTTTCCCCTTAAAAGAATGTGCAGAGACCATCATCAGGTCCATCAAGGAAAACTTCCAGGACTCCCCAAATGCACATAGCTTGAAACAGATTCATCTTGTTGATTCATCTGAGGAGGCAGTTAAAGCTCTTTCCAAAGCTGTGAAAAACGTTTTTAAAGATCTTTTTCCTAATAACAATTCAATGCCCTGCTCACAATTAGAAGGCCAGGAAACCAACGTGAGAAAAAAAGCTGAATATGGAAGTGTGCTGGCTTCCATCCAAACTAGAGAAGGCCTGAGCATCTTGTTGATGAAGGGAGATGTTCAGGATGCTGAGGTGGGTATCACCATTTACCCAACAGCCCACAAGGTGATTTTGAAATTGAAGTAGCCTAATTCCGATGTAACTAGGATTATATACACCCCCAGCAAGTTATTCTAGTGAGGCTAATGCAGATTTAGCCTGAGGTTGAAATTCTACTCTCCTCAGTGTGTGGAAGCTAAGTATATCTCAATGTGTAAGCATTTATTAAAGACTAACTATATAACAAGCACTTTGCAAAGTCTTGGTGACACAAAGAAAGATTTTTGTCTGTGATCTCAAGGAGGATACTAGTTAATAGGAGAACAGCTAGGTACATAGAATAGATATACAGAATATATGAAGGTTATCTGAAAAGGGAAGGCATTAGCAGTTAGAATGGAGGCAGAGTGGAGGGGGGGACAGCAAGGCCTTTTGCCCAAGATAGGATTCAATATCAGTCTTGAAGGAAGTTGGAAAACTAAGAGGACAAGGTGAAGGGGGTAGAGCATTCCAAACATGCAGGACAGCCTTTGCAAAGGCACCAAGATTGAGATAGTGTTGTGTCTGAGGAACTAAAAACAAACCAGTGTAGATGAAGCAAAGAGTGTATGATTTGGGGTAAGGTATAAGAAGATTGGAAAGGTAGAGAGGGGCCAGGTTATGAAGAGCTTTATATGCTAAATAAAGAAGTTTATATTGATCCTGAAGGTAATAGGATAGGGGACCGGTGTGACTCCTTGAGCATGGGGGTGACATGGTCAGATCTATCCTTTAAAAAAGTTACCTTGAAAGCTGAATGGAAGGTATATTGTAGAAGGGGGAGACTCAAGGCAGGGAGACCAGAGAGAAGAGTATTACAGTATTCCAGGCTAGAGGTAATGAGGGCCTGAACTAATGTTATGGCTGTGTAAGTGGAGAGAAGGGACTGTATATGAGAGATGGTGTGAAAGAATAAACAATATTGGATATGGATTGGATATGAGGAGTGAGTGAGTATGAGGAATTAAGGATGACAACAAGGTTGCAGGCCTGGATGACTAGGATGACGGTGGTGTCTTCAACAATTTAAGGAAAGTTTAGAAGGGAGGAGATTTTGGGAGGAAAGTAATGCACTCTATTTTGGACATTTGAGTTTGAGATGCCTGTCCAAGAAGCAGTGGGAAAAGTGTGACTAGCTCAGCAGAAGTGGCAATTACATAGAAATGACAAATGAACCCTGTGCAAATGCCTTGCTCTCATTGAATCACAAAAGAATTGCCAATGCCAGTCCCTAATAAATACTATTTCTCTCTAGCTGCTAGGCAGAAAGGTTTTAGAATGAGAGGGAATATAGACACCACCAGTCCCACAAGAAAAACTAAGAAGGGAATGTATTTGAAGGCACATATCAAGAACAGAACCAGTTCTGAAAGGAAGGAGGCAAGAAATTCAAGTAAATTAACCTTTCTGGACTCTACTTTCTTTACCAGTAAAATGGAGTTAATAGTAGTTGAGACCCACTTTAAATGGCTATTATGAGGGAAGTTCTTTGTAAACTAATGATAATAATACATTATTAATTCACTGAGTCATTTTGCCAAGGGAGACTTGATCAGTTATTTTTTGGAGGTGAATTTACTCAGATCCAGATAGAACCACTTAACCTATCATGAGAAATATGAATAATGATAAAGATACTGACATTTATATGGCTTTATGGTTTACCAAGTTCTTTTTACATATGTTGTCTCATTTGAACTCATAATCACTTGTGAAATAGCTCCTCCTCTTCCTTTTCTTCTTCCTCTTCTTCCTCTTCCTCCTTTTTTTTTCTTCCTCCTCTCCTTCTTCTTCTTCTACTCCTCTGGCTCCTCCTCCTTCATGACATACTTCATTATACATCATTTGAAGACAGAGCTGGTTGCTTTGATTAAAGTCCTTAAGGCTTTCAAACTTGTTTTTATTTATAACATTGGCACTGTATAACATGGGGGCCACTGTACTCCTCATCATATCCTTGATCTTGCTATCACCCACAAATATACCACCTCTACAATCAATAATTCCAAAATCTCCTTAACCCACCATAATCTATTGTCTTTTCACTTCTTCCTCTGACTTTCCTTACAAAACCCTATTCTTGGGGGCAGTTAGGCAGTGCAGTGGATAGAGCACTTAACCCCATTGCCTAGCAAAAAAAAAAAACCCCAAAAACACCTATTCTTCATCCACACTGTGACCTCCAATCCTCATGTCTTCAATCTTCTCCCAGGCCATCTCTCCTGAACTAGCCACTCTCTCCTCTTTTCCTCATCTTTAACCCTTGGTGAACTAATTCAGCTCTATACTCTCTTGAATCCTTAGTCCCTTTGTCATTTTGCTGATTATGTCCTGCCAAGCCTAAGTCTTACATCCGTCCCACAATTTGCTGCCTTTGCTCCTACTCACATGCTGCTGAGCAAAGATGGAGAAAATCATGCAACCATACTGACTGGATCCACTACAAATTTGTATTGCACAACATCAACGGGGACCTCCCTACCACTAAGCAATCATTCTATCCCTGCCTTATCAACTGACTATCTCACTCTCCATAGCAGCTCTTCCAAAAATTTTCATCCCTCCTCAAACCTTCCATGGCTCTCATTCCCCCCATTCTCTCAGCTGAGAGCCTTGCCTCATACTTTTTAGACAATGTTGAAGCCATTCACTGTGAGCTCCTTCTACTCACCTCATTTTCATCTCTTATGATTCAGATGCCTTCTGCCACCATCTCCTCTTTCACTGTGTCTTATATGACAACAAAGCCTTATTCTTCACCAAAACTCCCTGCTCAATCCCATTCCATCCCATCTCCTCCAACAGATCACCCTTTTGGTCATCCCCACTCTATCATTTGTTTTCTGTCTTTCCCTGTCCACTAGCTCATTCTCTACTGCCTATAAATATGTTCATGTCTTCTCCATCCTGAAAAAAAACCCCTCCCTTGATCCTTCCATTCCTACTATTGCCTTATATCTTTTTTGTCCTTTGCAGCTAAACTCCTTGAAAAAGCCAACTATAATGGATACCTCCACTGTCTCTCCTCTTACCCTCTTAAACCTTTACAATATGGATTCTAACCTCATCATTCCACCAAAACTGCTCTCTTCAAAGTTACCAATGATCTCTTAGTTGTCAAATCCAGTGGCCTTTTCTCAGTCCTCATCCTCTTTGATCTCTCTGAAGCCTTTGACATTCTTGATCTCTTGCTCTTCCTTCACATTCTCTTCTATCTAGTTCCCAGGACATACCTCTTTTCTGGTTCTCCTCCAACCTATCTAATTGTTTCTTCTCACTCTCCTTTGCTGGATCCTTATCAAGATCCTGCCCTCTAAAGGTAGGTATCCCACAAGGTTCTATCCTAGGCTCTCTTCTCCCTCTACGCTATTTCATTTGGTGATCTCATCAGAACCCATGGATTTAATTACCATCTTTATGCCAATAATTCTCAAATTTACCTATCCTACCCCAACCTTTCCGCTGACCTCCAGTCTCATGTCTCTAACTGCCTTGCAGACATCCCTAACTAAACTCATTATGTCTAAAACCAAACTCATTATCTTTTCCCCAATACCTCCCATTTTCTATCTTCCCTGTTACTATGGAGGGAAATACCATCCTCCCAGCCTCTCAAGTTCACAACCTAGTAGTTATCCTTGACTTCTCATTATCTTTCACCACCCCACATGTCCAATCTCTTGCCAAGGCCTATCAGTTACACCTTTGCCCCATTCTCTCCTCTGATATTGCCACCCCTGCAGTGCAATCCCTTATTACTTAGACTATTGCAGTAACCTATTAGAGGTTTTGCCTGCCTCAAGTTTCTCCCTCCTCCAATACATCCTCCATTCAGTCACTAAAGTGATTTTGCTAAAGTACAGATCTAACCATGCCACTCCCCTACTCACTAAACTCCAGTGCTCCCTATCACCTCCAGAATAAAATACAATATTGTCTATTTAGTATTCAAAGATCTTTATGATCTAGCCATTTCCTGCCTTTCCAATCTCATTACATCTTTCTCCCTGATACACACTGACACTGGCCTCCTGGCAGTTCCACAAAGACATTCAATCTCTAGGCTCTGGTCATTTTCTCTGGCTGTCCCTCATCCTAGAATACTTACCCTCCTCAACTCCACTTACTGACTTTGACTTCCTTTAAGCCTAAACTAAAATCTCATCTTTTACAAGAAATCTTTCCCAACCCCTCTTAACTCTGGTGGCATTTCTCTCTTAATTATTTCCTATTTAACCTATATATAGCTTTTTTGTATATAAATGGGTCACAAGGAGTCAGACATGACTGAAACAACTCAGCAACAACAAAAAACATATTTGTTTGCATGTTGTCTTCTCACCCCTTTAGATTGTGAGCTCCTTCAGGGCAGGGAGTATGTCTTATACTTCTCATGGTGCCTCACATTTAGCATAGAAAGTCAACAAATGTCTGTTGATATGATTTGATTTTTAACAAATTCTTGGTTTTTTTTCTTTAAGACTGATATTATTGTCAACTCCATTTCCTCGAATCCTCCCTTTAATGGAGGAGAACTTTCTCGGGCCATATTGAAGAAAGCTGGTTCATCTCTCCAAGCAGAGTTAAATGAAGTGGGGCAAAGAATGGAGATGAAAACAGGATCTGTTCTCCTGACCAGTGGCTGTAATCTGAACTGCATCTTTGTTCTCCATGCAGTAATTCCTGTGTGGGATAATGGAAAAGGTCATTCACAAAAGGTAGAGAAATATTTAAAAGAAGTACCCAAGGCCCTTTTAGCCACGGATCTCTAGGAGCTACTCCTGGTTCTTGAAACCTTATAGATCAGAATCCTTTCTAAACTGTAGCTTGTGAACCCCCAACAGTGTACTGAGTTTTACTAGTCAGCTATACACCTCATTCAAAACAAAGGCTTTCAGTGAAATACCACAGTAATTCAAGAAATCAGAAAATACTCCCCCTTAAATTTTGAACACACTTTCCCACAAATGCACACACCTTCACTAAAAAGAATAAATATGTATATAGGGATTAGTCTCCACATTAGACATGTGGGAGCATTTACAATCAGCATATCTATGTGGAAGACACCTGGAAGAAACCCACAGGTTTCTGTAGAGTAATAACATTCTGCTAGTTTTTCATGGATCAGTTTCCTACATGCATTATAGCTCTACTCTCACTAGTTTTCAAATGTACAACTGTTTTTAGAAGCACTTAATACACTGTCAACTTTCCACTGAAAATGTTATTTCTTTCAGTAGTTGAATTTCCTTTCTTCTTTCCCTTCACTATTCTGAATGAATATGAAGCTCTGTGATGTCCTTCTATTTTTTTCTACTCATTCTTTTCTCTTTCTTCTTCCCCCTTTCCCCTTTAAAATCAATCATTAAGTCCCAAAGGCATAGAAAGCAGAAACTCCTCCCATAATGGAAACACCCTCCCATCATGGTCATTTTTAGCACCCACACTCCATATCTTTGGTTACCATCTTCTCTCTATCCCTCCAAATACCCTCTTCCTAAAGCACTCAGAGAGAAATTAAAAAACAGAGAATTCAGAAAATACCCACTTTAGATAAGATGAAAACATACCTGATAAATGGCATCTCCTCACTGCTCTATTTTGTTGTTATATGCTCCATGTTTTGTGGAGAGAAGGATTGAGGAGGGGGGAGGAGATGTTGAGCACTAGGACCCAGAATCCTTTAAACAGAACCTTTTGGATCAGAGCTTTCATTGAACAAAGATTCAGGTCAGTTCCACATTTGTCTTAGCACTCTCTTCTGTATAAACTGCTTTCTCAGTGTATACAGAGTTCATTCTTATTGAAGGAACTCTCATCCATGCCATTGTCCTATCTCTTCCTTCACCATCTCATCTACACTCCACGTAAATGTTAGTTTTCTTTCTATCCTCAGACCCATTTCCAGCCACTCTTCATCCACTGTTAGCATTTAAGAAAAAATGCTAAATAAGCCTGAAGAGTAACTATCAATTGCATGAGTATAGAGCTGTTTTTATTTCCCAAAATCCTCTATTCCTGACAGGAGTCTCATTTTACATACATATAAATATACATAATGTTTATTTATACATCTGTATATAATATGCATATTTATACACACGTGTGTGTGTGTGTGTGTGTGTGTGTGTGTATTTTTTTTCAGATCATGGAAGATATAGTCAGAGAATGTTTGGACACTCCTGAGATTCTCTCTCTAAAATCAGTCACATTTCCAGCAATTGGAACAGGAATGGCAACATTTCCAAAAACCATTTTTGCTGAATTAATCCTCTCACAAGTGTTTAAGTTCAGTTGTACAACACCTTTGAAAACCCTAAAAGAAGTTCACATTCTGTTGCAGGCCACTGATATGGAAAACATTGAGGTAAGGTCCTTTGTCTCAGCTTAAAGCATTTTTGTGGGTAAGTTTTAATTCAATTGAAGTGCATTTCACTTAACATGATTTCTTCCACATATAGGAACTTAATAAACACTTTTTAGATTAATTTAAATCACATAATCCAAGTCCCAAACAATGACTATCTCCAGTCAGAGGGTATAATTGATGGGGATATAGATTCACATCCAGGAAACCTAACCCTATCAAGTTGACCAAACCCTCTTGATCAACTCTCCTCACTCTGGAGTACACCTTATTAATAAACAAGCAGAATGTTGTACTTGTAAGCATGAAATCTTAACAAACATTAAAGAAGTCCTCTCATGGGTGGGGAGATCTTCTATGAAAGATTGATGGGAGATTAAGATCACAAATCACAATGGGAGAAGGTCTGGATAAGGTGTGATCTGCACAGATGCCAATCCTGCTTTGCTGTTATTCCACAATCTAGAGGCCATGCCTGGGAAGATCTAAACCATGCATTCCCTAAGACCTTTTGTCCTTAACTGCCTCAATCATTTTTTCCATGTTGCCATGTGGCTGTTTATAGGTATACTTACCTTCTCCCCTTCTTTGCATCTCTTTCTCTGAGAACTATAACCAAATCATCACCACCATTTCATCTAGAAAGCATATGTTAATAGACCACTCTGTTGTTCTACTCACCATCTTTATGATTTCCCAGAGCAAAACTTTCTACCCATCTACCACTCACTAATTTGCATTATCTCCTCCATTAGATTGTAATCTTCTTGATGGCAAAAATTAGCTTTTCTATTTGTATTCTCAGCTCTCATTGCATTTTAAAATTGAGGATCATTCATATTAAGCATTCAACAATTATTTAAATAGATTTTGTCATAAAATTTCCATTAAAATTTCGTTTAACATAAGAAATCCTTCCATGGTAAAATCTTTTTAGGACCACTGCTTAAGTAAGGACAGTTAGGTCTACTTGGAAAACAACGCCTATCAAATAGTCTTCCTTTAGGATTCTAAAATTTCTTCTTTAAAATCACAGGAGAACACACATAGAACTGGAAGGTACCTAAGAAGCCACCTAGTCTTATCCCTTCATTTTTATAGATGAGAAAATTAAGGCTCAGAGAAGTTAACTGATTTCCCTGAGGCCACACAGGTAGTAGTAAAGTGCACACTAGGGAATTAGCATAGGTACTGTGACTCCAAATGCAGTGTCCTTTGAATTCTAGTGCTGGCTCTACTACCTAAAGATTAGCTTTCTTTATTTTTCTTGTCCAAGATTTAAGAATGGAGTTTCTACTGGGAATATGCACTGTAATGAATAATCATCTAAATAAATCTTTGTTTACTTGCAGGGTGTATTTGGTAAAGAATTGGATTTCTATTTCTATCAAGAATTGTTGTACTAAGTAGTTGTGTTTCTATTTCTAGGCATTTTCAGATGAATTCACTAGATGGGATAGTAGAAATGGAAATGGAAATCCTACCAGTTGCAGAGTTGCCAAGACTATTGATAGACAAGGTCTAGTAAAATTATTCTGTTAAAGAATTTACTGTTGCTTACTAAGCATTTGATAGTAGTTAAAATTCTAAGCAAATTAATGATGATCCAAATGAAGAACAAAACATCAGTAGAGAAGATGGCAAAGCACATACAACGTTTCTTGCTGTATTCTTTCTTTGATCTGAAAGCTCTGGATTTTCATGATGTCATCCCTGGGAGTTTTTATTTTGGGGTTTCTTGCTGGAGGTGATCAATGAATTCTCAATTTCCTCTCTGGTTCTAAGCATTATAGGCAGTTTTTATATATAATTTCTTGAAATGTTGCACCCAGACTTTTTAAATCATGATTTTCAGAGAGTGTGGTAGGTCATCTGTCTTTGACCTGTTTTCCTTTTCGTATCTTTGATATTATATTTATTCCGTTTACTTTTGTTTTTCAATATCTTGTTATACATACATATGTGTGTGTCTATGTGTATGTGTGTGTGTGTGTGTGTGTGTGTGTGTGTGTGTTTATCTATTGGTCACTAGTTTCTGTCCATTCTAATTTTCAGGGCATTCAGTTCTTCAGTGAGATTTTCTATCATCTGTTCTAATGTGCCAGTTTTCCATGCTATTTTTTCCTCCTTAGTATTTCCATTCTATATTTTTCATTTCATTTCTTCTAGCTACTCTTGCACTTCCTGTGACCATGACATGTTTTTCTTTAATTATGCCCCTGGACTTATTGAGGAGTTACTATTATCATTGGGGTATCCAAGGATTTCTTACATTATTCAGGTTTCCCTGTTTTGTATATCTCTATCATCTACATCACTATCTAGTTTGGGGTCTTGACCTGGAATTAATCTCCACAATTTAATGTCAGGAGTAGGGACTGCCTAGTTCTGAGTATAGAGACCCAGAGAAAGTCCTATTTCAAGGGACTCTAGGTCTGGGCTCTGCCTAGCAATTTCCTCTTGCCACAGAGCTCTGGGACCTTATCCTGCTGAAGGCTCTACCTACAGATGCTCAAGGTTTCTGATATCAAGCCAGGAATGCCATGATGGACCCCCTGTGAGTCTACCAGGTCTGCCTGCATGCCATCCTCCACCTATCCTGGCTTTTCTATCCCAGAGTTTCCATAGGAATCCAGGGATGGATCCTTCAGTTGGATAAGGGAGATTAGAGGCAATTCTTATTTCTTTCCAGATTGATTGATTTATTTCTATTTAATATTTTATTTGCCCAATAACATGTAAAAACAATTTTAACATTCATTTACAATTTTCTGAGTCCCAAATTTCCTCCCTCTCTCCATTCTCCCCCTCAACTGAGAAGGCAAGCACTTTGACATAGTATACATGTGCAGTCATGCAAAATATATTTCTTTGTTAGTCATGTTGTGAAAGAAAACACAGATAAAAAAAAAACAAGAAAAACAAAAAAATAAAGTATGCTTCAATCTGCACTTAAATCCCATCAGTTCTCTCTCTGGAGATGGAGAGTATTTTTCATTAAAAGTCCTTCAGAACTGTCTTGGATCATTGTATTGCTGACACCAGTTGATTATCATACAATATTGCTGTTATTGTATACAATGGTCTCTTGGACCTGCTCATTTCACTTTGCATCAGTCCATGGAAGACTTTCCAGGTTTTTCACAGAGCATCCTGCCTGTCATTTCTTATATTCCCTCACAGTCATATACCACAACTTGTTCAGCCATTCCTCAATTGATGGCTATTCCCTTAATTTCCAATTCTTTGCCACCACATAAAAAGCTACTATAAATATTTTTATACATATGGGAGTTTTTCCCTTTTAAAAAAACATCTTTGCGATACTAACCTTGTAGTGGTATTGCTTGATCAAAGGTTATGTATGATTTTATAGCCTTTTGGGCATAGTTCCAAATTGCTCTACAGAATAGTTGGATCAGTATACTTCTCCAACAGTGCGGTAGTGTCTCAATTTTCCCACATCCCCTACAGCATTTGTCATTTTCCTTTTCTGTCATATTAGCCAATTTATGGGGTGGTAGTTCAGAGTTGTTTTAATTAGCATTTCTGTAAACAATAGTGATTTAAAGCATTTTTTCATATGACTATAGATAGCTGTGATTACTTCACCTGAAAGCTACCTGTTCATATCCTTTGACCATTTATCAATTGAGAAGTGGCTCTTATTTCTATAAATTTGATTTAGTTCTCTATATACTTGAGAAATGAGGTTTTTATCAGAGAAACTTGCTATAAAAATTTTTTCACAGTTATTATTAGTAACTCTGTATTTCCCTCCATCCTATTTCCCTCCTGTTTATCCTATTCTCTTTCCTTTCATCCTGTCCATTCTCAAAAATGTTTTACTTCCTCCAGTAGCTCTTCCTTCCATAAGGACACCCCCTCCTCTTATCTCCTTTCCTTTTTACTTTCCTGTAAGATAAGATAGATTTCTATATCTGACTGAGTATGTATATTATTCCGTTTGAGCCAATTCCCGCAAGAATAAGCTTTATGCTCTCCCCTCCACCACCACTCCTATTTCACCCTCCACCGTAAAAGTTTTTTCACACCTCTTTTATGTCAGATAATTTACCCTATTCTACCTCTCCCTTTCCCCTTTTCCCAGTGCATTCTTTTTCTCACCCTCTAATTTTTTTTTAGATAATTATCCCATTTCATTTTAGACAAATATCCCATTTCATATGTGAGAAATAATTCATTTGGACCTCTACTCTATTCCAATCAGTAGTAATCAATTTGATATGATTTTATAGGAGTAGTGATTATAAAATTCTGTGTATTAGGCCCCAGAGCTATGAGCTATAGATTGTAAATTCATATATTTAATCATAGGAAGCTAACTAGAAACCTTCCACCCTTGTTTTTCCTTGTCATGATGACCAAGCACAATGTGGCAGAGATGATTCAACAACATGGAAAGCCCTCCATTTTATTTTTGCACCTCTGGACCATTCCCTCTTGTCCAACACATGCAGGTGACCATCTTATGACCATTTAGTCAATGGAGATGCCCCATGCTTCACCAAACCTATGACCTCCCCCCCCACTGATATGTCATTTTTGGTCCTCAAGAACAAGGTATATCAAGCAATGAGATTCTGTATTTCACCATGCCTCTTTTGCATATTTGGGTACCAAATTTTATAAATACAAGGCCCTGGAAGAAGGGGGCATTTCAGATCTCGAGGAAAATATGAGTTCCACTTTATTAGAGAGGACCATGGACCTTTAATAAAGTGCAGTTGGCTCAGAGCTCTGCCTCACTGTCTTTTATTGTAGGTTGGACAATTTTAATCCCTACAATATTTAACTTACACACATTTCCTCTTTGTATACTTCTAACTGCCCTAATAATGAGAAAGATTTTAAGACTTACAAGTACAATTTTTTCATGTAGGAATGTGACCAGTTTAACCTTATTGAATCCCTTATGATTTCTCTGTCCTGTTTACCTTGTTATGGTTCTCTTGAGTTTTGTATTTAAGTCAATTTTTCTATTCAACTCTGGTCTTTTCATCAGGAATGCTTGAAAGTCCTCTATGTCATTGAACTTCTATTTTCCCCCAAATGATTATATTCAATTTTGCTCAGGTAGGTGATTCTTGGTTGTAATCATAGTTGCTCTCTGAAATATCATATTCCAAGCCCTCCAATCCTTTCACATAGAAACTACTGAATCTTGTGTTATCTTGACTGTGGCTCCATGATATTTGAATTGTTTCTTTTTGGCTGCTTGTAATATTTTTTCCTTTTCTGACCTGAGAGCTCTGGAATTTGGTTATAATATTCCTGAGAGTTTTCATTTTGGGATCTCTTTCAGGAGGTGATTGGTGGATTCTTTAAATTTCTTTTTTACTTTCTGGTTCTAGAATATCAGGACAGTTTTCCTTGATAATTTCTTGAAAGATGATGTATAGTCTCTTTTTTTTAGCATGGCTTTCAGGTAGCCCAATAATTCTTAAATTATCTTTCCTGGATATGTTTCCAGGTCAGTTGTTTTTCTAATGAGATATTTCATGTTTTCTTCTATTTTTTCACTCTTTTGATTTTGTTTTATTATTTCTTGATGTGTCCTAAAGTCATTAGTTTCCACTTGCTCAATTCTAATTTTTAAGGAATAATTTTCTTTAGTGAGCTTTTGTACTTCCTTTTCCATTTGGCCAATTCTGCTTTTCAAGTTGTTTTTCTCTTCATTAGATTTTTGTGCTTCTTTTACCATTTGGCCTATTCTGTTTTTTTTAAGGTGTTACTTTCTTCAGTATTTTTTGTGCTTCCTTTACCAAGCTGTTGACTCTTTTTTTCCCCATGTTTTTCTTGCATTACTTATTTCTTTTCCCAATTTTTCCTCTATCTCTTTTACTTGATTTTAAAAATCTAGCCTATTTCTTCACTTTTAACTCTATGCCAAAGTGGGGCTCTGCTTCTGGAGTACAGGGGATAGTGTTTTAAGCTTTAGGTTTTTGGTGCAGCTTTTTCAGAGATAATTCTAGGGACCTGTAAGTTTCAGTTCTTCCAAGGTGGTATAATCTAGGGAGAGGTGTCTTTACTACTCTTTGGCCTGTACTCTTATCTATGAGCAACCACAAGCATTCTTTTCCACCCTTGAACTGTGACCAGGGTGCTACCTCCCCTATGGCCACAAGCTCTGGTGTGCTAGTGCTCCTCCTTGCCCTGGGGCTGAGACCCAGGACTGTGACTCATATTCAAGTATGGGCAATGCAACAGAGTCCTGCCTCCTAGTGCCAGCAAAGTGACCTTTGTAATTTCCTTCTAACCAATTGTCTGACCCCTTTACTGTCTGTGGACTGAGAGGTCTAGAAACTGCCACTGCTGCCAGTGATTCAGTCAACCCCAAAGCCTACTGCTGGTGTGCTAGAGCAAGGACTGCATTGAACTGTGCTCCACTCTCACCCCAATGCAACAGATCTTTCCTGACAATGTTCTAAGTTGCCATGGGCTGGAAAATTGGTTTCACTTTTTTTTTGTGGGTTCTGCCACTCCAGAATTTGTTTTGAGACATTATATGAAGTTTTATGGAGGGGTTTGGGGGAGAGCTCAGGGGAATCCCTGCCTTTTCTCCACTATCTTGACTATGCCTTAGATTGATAGATTTCTAAGCCTCACTGAATAGTTTTCAAGGGATCTGGGCTCCTCTTTGTCATAGCATGGCACCATCTTCCTCAAATCTCTGCAACTACAATATTCTTAGACTTTTAGACACTAGTCGTATTTATTTGGCATGAGTCAATCAGACACAAGACTGAATTGCCTGGCCTATTAAATTATCTAAACTCTTTTTTGACCCCATAAAGGCTGAGACTAGTATTTTCTCAGTTGGAGATATATGGTCTCTATATAGATGAATTTAAAACTCAACTAACCAAATATTTCTGTCTCATTAAATTTTACTGTGCTGATACATAAGAGAAATGGAATTGCACAATGGATGGAGGGTCAGTTTTAGAATCAAGAAGTCTTGTATTTAAGTTCTACCTCTGACACATACTAACTCTGTGACCATGATCAATTATTTATTCTCTCAATGCTCCAAGAATTCTCTAATACTAGAATTAATTTATGAGACACCAGTCTACATCAGTAAATAAGATCTCTGTGTTGAAAGTTCCTGATTTATGCATAATCATAGGTTGGCAGGGGGAAGGAGACAGAGAAAGATTGGGGAAAGGGAACACTCATCTAATTTCCTAAATCCTTTCAAACAAAAAATTTTTCTGTTGAGTCTTGGAAATTAAAGTCAAGAAATTTCTTGAAGGGGTAAAGGGAGGAATAAGAGAGAAACATATAATAAAGCCTCATAATACTAGTCACAGGATCCATCTTGGTATCTTGTTTTTCTTATTTTCTCTTTAGATTTCTTTGGGACTATTTCTAATACTGCACCTGGAGTTTATGAAACAACAATTGGTTCTATTTCCTTTATGGTTGCCTCTGGAGATATTACTGAGGAACAAGAAGATGTTATTGTAAACTCTACAAATGAAACATTCAACCACAAAGGAGGTATTATATGAATTGTTATTGTTGCATAAGCTATATCAATGACTTAAAACACTTGCCATGATTGAAGTAAATTAGACTGAATTTTGATTCAATAAGACATAGAATGAGAAGACCAGAACTTAACTTCTAGATTTGCCACTTACTAGTTGTGTGCTCAGCATGTGCTTTTTCTCCTCTCTGGGCCCCAATTTCCTTATCTGTAAAATTAAGTGGGGGTGGGTGAGTGGGTACAATGCATGACCTTTAAGGTTCCTTATATTTTCAATATTTTATGATTCTGTGATTCATGCTCATTCTTATTATGATTTTCTTATCTAGGGGTCTCCAAAGCCATCTTTGAAGCTGCTGGACCAACTGTGGAATTGGAATGTGCCCAACTGGGTATGGCATCTATGTTTATATTTTAGCCTTAAACTAGTCAAAGTAAAAGGGTTGGGTGTGTGACATGAGGATGTAGGAGATGATCACAGTAAATGAGAAGTATTTTAAGAGCCAGTGTTCCATGCAAAAGTGTCATTGTGATAATTTCACTTTAAATTTAAAGTTGAATATATTCATGTTTGTAAGAAAGTAACCACATATGATATGGTTTGAGACACCTTTATTGGTTCTTATGCTCCCAAATTTATTTTTTTTACCAACTTACCACAATATCTAAAATTTTCACAATGAAAAGGGGTTGACACTAGGACTGTTAGCTAGGAGAGTTCAGGAATTACAATATATGCAACAACTATAACTCTAGCCTTGAAAAACTATTTGACTGAGCCCAAAGGTGGAATTCGTCCTTACTCCCTCTCAACTTTGGTGTCTGGAATGCTTGTTTGACCCATGTTTGTCCTAGGGACTCTGCCTCTTCCAAAGTGGCTCCCTTTTGTCACATTTATTGGCTCATGAAATCTTCCATCCTGGCTACCACAGGGGATAGTTTTAATTATAATAAATTAGGTTATAGCTGATAATTATAGGGAAATAAAAGGAGAAAGTTAAAAAAGGTACTCTATAAAATGTTGAAGAGGTTACCTGACATGTAATTTATTTCTACATGAAAAAAATGCTACAAACAAAAAGACTCACAAGTACACATTTAGCTAAAATTAATAGGATTCAGGAATTTAACATATGATAATAGTTACACTGGGATGCTGATCCATATTCCTCATCAGAACATAGAACAGGTTGCAGGATTGTTAACTAGCAATTTCAAAATTCACCTTTGCTTGATGCTGCTTGATCAAATATATAGGGGCTGGCCTCTTTCTCCAATTGAGAAACTATTGTAGTAGCCAGGGATCCTTCTCTGCTACCATTTAGTTTTTTTTCATTGGACCTCAAAATCTCTCTATCTTTTAAACTCACAAGATCACCTCCTGGATACATCCACATGGAATATATGTTCCCATTAGATCAGACAAGAACAAATACAAAAGGGGCAAAGGAGACTAGGGCCCCAAGTGAAAACTCACCTAGTTAAATACACACACCATATAAGGAGTGAAACCAGGGTCACCACAATATGAATGAAGCATAGATTCTTCACTGAATTCACAAATGCCACCTGGAGAATCCAAGAAGGACTTTTATTAAAAAGGTGCACTGAATTTTCAGCTCCTTTGACTTGAAAACCATTAAAGAGTCTCTTTACCCTCTCAGAGCATGGACCATTTAGCCCTGATTCATACATGGCCAATATCAAACAATGTAGGTTACTGGAACCAATCTTTGTTATGTAAATATGGAAATAAAGTCAACTTGAAGAGTCAATAAAACTCTGGTAAATTATCACACTAATACTCATAGCACTATTAGCATCAAAATTAAGGTGAAAACCCTCCTTTTTTTAATAGCTATAAGCAATTTTTTTCCTGGAGTGTCCCTTGCAAAGAAATTTAAGCATTTGTTAGGAAGTATCTATTATATTTTTAAAAGATTAAATTTGTTTACTAAAAAGTAAATATCCTTTGACCCAAAGATTCAACTACTATGTTTTTACCCCAAGGAGGCCATTGATAAGAAGAAAGTTCCAATATATACCAAATTATTTTAGCTGTACTTTTTGTGATAGCAAAGAAACAAAGTAAATGCTCATTGATTAGGGAATGGATAAACAAATTGTGGCACATGAATATAATGGAATAAATACTGTAAGAAATGGCAAATATGATGAATACAGAGAAACATGGAAAAACTTACCTGAACTGATGCAGAGTGAAATAAGCAGAACCAAAATAACAATATGGAAAATAACTACAATGATGTAAGTGGAAAGAACAATTATAGACACCCAAAAAAAATCAAAAGCATGTGTTGCAAAATTACAAAGAAAAAGTATGGCTCAAAAGAAGATATATAAGAAGTCATTCCTACTCTAGTCTTTTGCAGAGGTAGGTGGCACACAAGTGTGTTACATTTCTTATATTTTCAGACTTTTTAATGTGATAAGTTTTGTCTATTTTTTCTTTCTTTTTTGTTGGATTATTATTTGTTATAGGAAAGATAGCTTTCCAGGAAGGTGAAAGGGAAGGATCATTTTTATGATGTAAAAAATATAAAAGACTGATAAAATTTGATTAAAAATAAAAAAGACAATTAGGACAGGATGGAACCAATATGGTGGAGTAAAGGCAGCAACCTAGTTGAACTTTCCTCCAAAACAACTATCCTCCAAACAATTTTAAAATAAAGCCTCAAATCAAATTTTTGAACAGCTGAACCAACAAGAGGTCAGAGAAAGATATTTTTCCAGCCTAAGACAACTTCAGAGATCAGTAGGAGAGGTCTGTGACAATGGGGTAGGAGCTGGCCCAGAGTGCAGCAAGAGCACCAGTGGTGGGCCTTGGAGGTAACTGCTACTACAGTGGCAGCAGCAGCAGCAATAGCAGCTTCAGGAGCTCTCAGCACAGAGATGGTAAGGATGGGTTGGATAACTGGTCACAAGGAGAATACAGGACACCTTTTGCCAGCACTAGAAAAAGGACCCAGCACTGCTTAGCAAGTACATTGCCCAGAAGCAGTCCTGGGTTGTAATTCCAGGGTGGAGAGGAGCCTTCTCAGTCACAAAGGAGCAGGGTCCCTGGTTAGAGTTCCAGGACCAAGAGCAACACTAGCACTTGCAGCTACAGGGGAGCAGGGGCCCTTTACCTTCTGGGTAAAGACCACAACTATCTCCAGATCACATAACCCCTGCAACTAGCTCTGAAAATAGCAGTACCAAAAAAGCATGAAGCTTGGGACAGTGCCTCCCCACCCCCATGTGAGCAGAGCCCAACTTCAACATAATGTTCAAATTCAAGAAATAGTCTTGAAAATGAGCAAACAGTAAAAAAAAGAACTTGACCATAGAGAGATACTGTGGTGGAGGGAAAACCAAGACATAAACTCAGAGGTAGAAATCAATGTGAAATCATCTTTAAAACAGAGCCTCAAAAAAAAATGCTAATTGGACTCAAGCCCCACAAGAGATCCTAGAAGAGTTCAAGAAAGAGATGAGTGGTAGAGGAAAAATTGGGAAAAGAAATGAGAGTAATGCAAGAAAATTATGAAAAGAGCAACTTTGTAAAAGAAGGACCCAAAAAAATGCTGAAGAAAATAGTACCTTAAAAAACAGAATTGGCCTAATGGTGAAAGAGGCACAAAAATGCAATGAAGAAAAGACATCCTTTAAAAGAATTCACTAAATTGAAAAAATATACCAAAGCTAACTGAAGAAAATAATTCCTTAAAAATTAGAATTGGGTAAGTGGAAGCTAATGACCCCATGAGACATTAAGAAACAATGAAATAAAGTCAAAAGAGTGAAAAAATAGAGGAAGATGTGAAATATCTAATTAGAAAAATGAGTAGGGGCAGCTAGGTGGCACAGTGGATAGAGCACCAGCCCTGGAGTCAGGAGGACTTGAGTTCAAATCCAGCCTCAGACACATAACACTCACTAGCTCTGTGACTCTGTGAAAGTCACTTAACCCTAATTGCCTCACCAAAAAAATAAATAAATAAATAAATGAGTGACCCAGAAAATAGATCGAGGAGAAATAATTTAAAAATTATTGTACTACCTGAAAGCTGTGATCAAAAAAGAGCCTAGACCTTATATTTCAAGAAATTATGAAGAAAAAGTGCTCTGATATCTTAGGTCCAGGTGGTAAAATAGAAATTGAAAAAATCCATCAATTATCTCCTGAAAGAGATCACAAAATCATAACTTCCAGGAATATTATAGCCAAATTCCAGAGCTCCCATGTCAATTAGAAAATATTGTAAGTATCCAAAAAGAAACAATTCAAATAACATGGAACCACAGTCAGGCTCACACAAGATTTAGTAGCTCCCACTTTAAAGGAGGAGAGGGCTTGAAATTTGATGTTCCTGGAGGCAAAGGGGCTAGGATTGCAACCAAGAATCACCTACCAAGCAAAACTGAGTATAATCTTTCAGAGGAGGAAGGATATTTAATGAAATAGAGGATTTTCAAGCATTCCTTTTTTTATAATTATTTATTTATAAAAAAAATTTCCCCAGCTACATGTAAAAATAATTTTAACATTAATTTTTAAAACTTTGAGTTCCAAATTCTCTCCGTTCCTCCCTCCCCACCCTTATTCATTGAGAAGGCAAACAGCTTGATATAGATTATATATGTTAGTCATGCAAAACATATCCATTATAGTAATGTCAGTGAAATTAGTGAAATATTAGTGAAAGCAAACGCAGACAAAAAACCTCAAAAAAAATAAAGTAAAAAAAAATATGCTTCAATCTGTATTCAGACACAATCAGTTCTTTCTCTGGGGATGGATAGCATTTTTTTCATCATAAGTCCTTCAGAGTTGTCTTGGATCATTGCAATGCTGAGAATAGCTAAGCCATTCACAGCTGAACATCTTACAACAATGCTATTATTTTGTACACAGTACATTTCACTTTGCATCAGCTTGTGCAAGTCTTTCCAGGTTTTTCTGGAAAAACCTTTTCAGGTTCATCATTTCTTTAGCACAATAGTATTCCATCATAATCATATACTATAACTTGTTTATCCATTCCCCAATTGATGGGCAACACCTCAATTTCTAATTCTTTAACCCCAGAGATGAGCTGCTATAAATATTTTTGTACGCATGGGTCCTTTTCCTTTTGGTTTTTTATCTCTTTTGGGATACAGACCTGGTAGTGGTATTGCTAATTCAAAGGGTATGCATGGTTTTATAGCCCTTTGAGCATAGTTCCAAATTGCTCTATAGAATGGTTGAATCAATTCACAACTCCACCAATAGTGCATTAATGTTTCATTTTTTCCCATATCCCCTCTAACATTTTTCATTTACCTTTTCTGTCCTATTAGCCAATCTAATATGTATGAGGTAGGACCTCAGAATTGTTTTAAT